ATTGTTCGTGGCACATCTGTGGCCCAAGTGTTTCTCGGAATTTGTACCTGCGCCTAATTACAAGGCATTGCCGCCCGGAAACTGTGCAGNCAGCCCGCTGAGTTTCTCGCCGGATCTTCTCAGCGGGTCGCGATTCCGATCCGGTAGTAGATTCATTCGCGAAACAATTGCTCTTGAGTTGTTAGGTCTCCTTCGGAGGCGCTCGGGCAGTTGTTAGCAAATCCCACCCCTCTTGGCTGAGCCTTTGCTCGCCCACCTGTCCTGGTGAAACTGGAAAGGCCTCCGGGCCACCAGTAATCATTCAATCATAAAAAAAAAAAAAAAAAAGGTTTGCAAATCAAAATGACAATGATATTACAATGGCTACAAAACGGCTATATGAAACTAATTACTTACGCCCATAATACTCATTTTTCAAACCAAACTGGTGGTAGGACCTCTTGTCTACTGGTGGTAGGACCTCTTGTGAGTCCGCACGGGTAGGTACCACCACTCTGCCTATTTCTGCCGTGAAGCAGTAATGCGTTTCGGTTTGAAGGGTGGGGCAGCCGTTGTAACTATAATTGAGACCTTAGAACTTATATTTCAAGGTGGGTGGCGCATTTACGTTGTAGATGTCTATGGGCTCCAGTAACCACTTAACATCAGATGGGCTGTGAGCTCGTCCACTCATCTAAGCAATAAAAATAAAAAAATCAAACCAAAAAAGAATCAATGCCCTTTCACACACATTTGTTGAGTACGTATTTCATTAGAAAAATTGGTACCCGCCTGCGGGATTCGAACACCGGTGCATCGCTACATACGAATGCACCCGATGTCTTAGCCTTTAGGCCACGACGACTTCATCAGCGTAACTAATATTATTGATATTGACACCTTCAACATGACAGCCGACGTGTGTGTTGCTAAGCTCGTCAATCAGAGCATTAACGTACAGGTTAAAAAGCTTAGGGGAGGTCAATCCCCCCTGCCTCACCCCGCACTCCAACCAGCGCTCCTGCCCATCTCACAACACTGTATTGGTACTGGTTGCTGTACCAAAATTAAAAAATGCTATTTTTTTCTGGTGGCACTTTGGTATCCTCCAGTTTTTTCCATAACATATCGTAGCAGACCAGATCAAACGCTTTCGACAGGTCAAGGAAGCACGCGTAAACTGGCGTCTTTCTATCGGTGTAGTACCTGACAGTCCGCTTTAAGCACAAAATCGCACTTTCTGTTGAAAGACCCGGTCTAAAACCAAACTGGTTGTCGTGGAGCAGTAGAAATTTATCCAGCTCAGAATTAAGCAGACTGTGCTCCCGTGGTGACTTCACAAAGACGTGCTCTCTAAATATTTTTGCGATAACCTTAACATCCCCCTCTGACCCCCTCCCTCTACGCTCACTGGGAGACCTGGACTAATGTTTAAAGCAGACAAAAATGAAAAGTTTATTGTTGATTTTTTTAATGTATGTTTCTATTGTTTTTTATTTACATCAATATTATTGAATAAGATGAATAGTTGATTAAACAAAATCAGTGTGAAATTCTAGAAACACTTATTGAAGTGAAACACTTACATTTAATTTGTATAGTTGATTATGGCTATAATTTATATAAATTATATTTAAATATAATATATCTAATTTAAATTAAAAAACTATAAAATATACTTTAATATTATTATAATACTCTAATATATTTTTTATAAATTTATTTTTTATTAACAAAAAGTCAAATCAAAATAACTTAACATAACTCAACCCACACAGTAGAACAGATCTTCCAACGCGCTTGAAGGAGGCACAGTCCCCAAGATACTGGCTACGTTGCCTCGTTGGACAGCCAGACTCACTCTCTGTGCAAAGTACCAGCCAGCCTTAGCATCATGTGTATATATAATATGCTCTAATATATAATATGCTTAAACTCATGATTATAAATATATTTCAAATAAAAACCATGGTTTATTTTTTTTCAAAGCTATATTTGTTTTGAACGGTAATATGAAAAAGCTGTTAAATTTTCTATTCAGTACTGTATTTTATCTGTACGGTATATCTCGCATATATATTACATAAATTACTATAATAACTTGGTTACGATTTATTATGTTCACTAGCTATAATAATAATAAACTTTATAAAAGTCGATAGTGTGCTGCTACAATTCAACACTTTTCACACAACCTCATAAAACCTACCACAATAATTCCGTAACTTACTATTGCAGAATAATGAAACTTTTCTTGATACTGTAAAAAATATATTTTCATATTGCAGCCAACAGGAAGCATATAATTTAAATCAGATGGCAAAATAGTATTTCATAAAAATAGCTTTCATTTGCTGTTTCAATGACCGTAATAGTCCCAGTTGTTAGAAAGTTATTAAGAAAAACAGTCAATATTTTTCCTGTAAAATTTGCTTTTTTCGATTACCGACTTATTGCACAGGGGGTCGATAAACATAAACATAAACCTCCTCTTTGAGTACCCACCTATCTGTAAAGGGCAACATTACGTTAGTGCCGGATAGATGGCGCTAATGGCATTGATTTTTATCTTATTTTATAAACCTTATTAATATGTGGAATTCATATTAAGTCTATAAATAGAAAAGAGATTATTTGTGTGTGTTCACGTACAATAATCTTACGTGGTTAGCTTTTATGTTTTCATATATAATTGCTCTATGTTGCGGGCGAAGTCGCGGCAGTAGCTAATACCTACATAATAACAGCCCTAATACAATAGTTAGAAACAATACAACATACAATTAGTGTAGGTAATGTAGTTGTCGTGGCACCATATTGTCACTGGGCGACTGGACACACACTCACGCCTGTGCCGCCTCTGTCCACGATTATACTACTACAATATAGTGCGGCTTACGATGACATATCTACTGCAACATTACGTTTAAATTGAATATTAATGCGTGTTTTATATTTAATTTTGTTCCACAGCGCAGCGGTGTGCGCGCGCGTCATCATCTTCCTTGACCTTGTACGAGAAGATCAAAAAACTCAATTAACACAATCGCTGCCAAGCGATATCTCCGGGATTCCCCAACTCCGTGTAAATTTGGGGATCCTGTTATAATATTATAATAACAATTGTCATTAGTTTATTAATTGTATAACATAACTCGTTAGAGGCGCCCGGTGTGCTGTGTTCAAGCCCGCAGGCAGGCAGGTACCAATGTCTCTAGTGAATGAGGGTACGTAATTAGCACACGCTCACGACTGTCTTCCACGATCAAAGAATAAAACGGCAATTCGGATGAAGCCAGTAGAAAATTATAAATTCGTGTAATTATTCAAGGGCCGTAGGAGAGACGCCCTGCCTAATCCTGCCGACAGCCTTCTGTCTTAAGGCTTGTGGCAATTTTCACATTATAATTATACATATTAATAGGTATTTTTTCCATATTATTATGACGTTGCCGTGTTACAACACTGCTCATTTGAAAGCTAGTTTATGTATGGCTGATAATAAATTCTAAATTAAAATGATTTTTATTTTAAAATTCAGTCATTTGTTTATTGATTAGTGTTTTCTTCTCAGTACATTTGTAAGTTTGTCAGCAATATGGACACGATGAATATGAGTAATAACGGGATACGAGTTGCGTCGCAATAATAATACTAGTAATGCCGCACAACTGGTTGTGACGCTTCCGATGTGGAAAAAAATATCCGCAATGTCAATGAAGGCCGATAGTGAAGCTGTCGATACCACATCTACTGCCGAGTCCGCAGCAGCTTTCAAGGCTACCATCAAAACATTGTTGGACCATTTGCGTCAAATTGATAGGATAACAAAAAAACATTTTGTAATAAGCGTGTGCCGCGATCGCCAGCGCGACGGTCGCGGCAGGGTGTGCCTTGTGTCGCTTAACAGACGCAGACACAAAGAAACGATACAAAATGCATATGAAATGCATATATATAGATGTTTCACAACAAATAATAAAAGGTTGTGAAAATGCTGACATTACTCTGTTGTAATAATGTAAAGTCATCAAACTGTGATAAGGATCAGCAGTACGATACGAACCTCGTCTAGTACTGTAAGTATTTGGCACGGACAACATGTATTGCTAAGGCGAGGCGTTTCGTCCTGGTCTCTACAGGAACGCAACGAGCTTATGACCCTGACGCACGAGTCGCACCGTGCAGCGGCTGGAGGAACCCTCAAGTCGAGACGCGTGACTTCTGCGCGGAGCTCGGCCACCGCGCGTGACGGATCACAACTATTTACCAAAATGAGTGTTATACTCCGATAATAGAAACTCACTTCATTTGAGGAATATAAGAGAAATAAAGATTCAGGTAATGAGACGAGAGAGATGTTGACGAGGCGTCCGAGCGTCGCAGCACACGACGACGCGCGGGGCGGTGCGGTGCGGTGCGGGGCGGTGCGGTGCGGTGCGGTGCGGGGCGGTGCGGTGCGGTGCGGTGCGGTGCGGTGCGGTGCGGTGCGGTGCGGTGCGGTGCGGGGCGGCCGCCGAGGGCACATCTACAGTTCAAAAACCAACAACCAAGATAAGCCGCTCCGTCTAGGGATGTGTGTTCCGATTCTCAATCGATCCAATAACGATCCAGCGACACTCCGACAGACTGAGATCAATATATCGATTCTTTCTTTCAAATTATTATCATTTATTATAAACCTGTGGCGTTACTGGTACATTCCACGAAAACGGATTAATAACACTTACCGATCTTTTTTTATGTATTCATACACCATATTTATAGGTAGCACAGGATAGAAACAAAGTAAGGAAAATGAAAACTAAGAAACATAAGTATTAATAAACCTGCTATTGATTGATAAGTATCATATAAGCTCATTTAGTTTTACTATTAGTGCGATCGAAAACACAAATCGATACATAAATTTAAGGAACATAATAAAATGATTCGGCGTGGAAATCCCTGCGTCTGGTGACGTCACCGCTGAGTTGTGCAGACACGTTATATATATGAGGGTCGCGAGAGTGTGGGCCGCATGCCGCGTGCTGACGTGCTGGCACGCGCCGCTCCTCGACATGGCCCGCCTCCACTCGGCAGTTGTACTCGCGCTCGCTCTCAGCTCGCTTCTCACAGAAATAGCAGCCGGTAAGACCATTCATATATTCATTCGAAGACGTACATAACTTATACTACCATACATGACCAGCAACACAACTTTAAAAAGATGAAAAGCCGCGCGAGCTTAAAAAAAAGTGTTAATTCTAGACTTTGTTGCAATATGTTGCGTGAACACGTAGTAACAAAAATTAGCTTGGAGTTTGACTTTATTTATTTTTTCCAGTGCTGAATTATTATATTCAACATGTGGTTGAGACAAGGCTAGGCCATTGAAAAGCGCGATTATAAATGTGTAACTGAATAAAAACAATAACAAAATATTTTGGTTGTACTTTATAATTGTTACCGTACATGACCCATTACCTACTATGAGTATATTATTTCTGTAAACATCAACAGCTTATCAGATAAAATTGAACCCATTGGTCATTGTTATTGCATATTTTCATTTTAACTACCTTTTGAAAACGTTTCCTTGCGCGTGCTTTTTTTTGGATGGATCCGTAACGACGTGTCTAGGGCGTCTGACTTCTGCCTTTCTCCTGACAGCAACGATAAGGCGATTATCATGACGTATAGCCTTATCGAAGTACCGTTCCGACGCTAACTTCAGATGTTTCCGGATTTATTCAAGACCCAGATCGTCGGGTAAGTCGACGTTCCTCACGAACCACGCATGCTCCGACGGTTAGCCTGCTAAAAAGGGATTCGAGGACAGTAAGGAGTGTCCATGTTGGTACGGGCAGCGTGAGCGAACACCAAGCTCGCGTATTTCATGACGGGTCTTATGCAAGCGTTGCAAAGTTTCACCTTGTTCCGAAGGGACATTTTACTCCGCTTGCAAATCATGGGATAAAGTCTACAGGGAATAAGTGCTGCGCGGTTACGGACCGATTTCATAAGCGGGCGGCATATCGTGGATGGATTCAGGGTAAATTCCGGGTACTTAACTTTCCTAGCCCAGCGTATGGGTTGGCCGAAGAGGGTGATCGGGGGTGTGAGATTTCTACGCCTAATGCGGTAGGAGAAATGGGTTGAGTTCCACCTTTGAAAGAGCATCGTTGTGCTTTTTGCTGGTCCACTGTCCGAGGGTCACGGCTGCACTCTGGAGCTGCGCTTTGCTCGCGATTAGGGAGCTTGCGCGCACTGGGAATTGGTGTGATCCAGTAGTACCGTTGTGATGCGTGTGATGTATCCTTCAACATCGCTTATGGAGTGTGCGGTGCCGGACAGGCTCACTTGCGTTGCTCATACGTCGCCTGTCACTCAACCGCCCCCTGTGCTCCAACACGGCGTCAACTTTTTAATTTTGTTTCAGATTGCGACGTCGTCAGTAAAAAGCAATGGGACGGTTTGATCCCGGTGCACGTGTCGTACCTGGCGCGGCCCGTGAGCCTCGTCATCGTCCAGCACACAGTCACACCCTTCTGCAGGACGGACGCTGGCTGCGAGGAGCTCGTGCGGAATATCCAGACCAACCACATGGAGGCCTTGCAATACTGGGACATCGGACCCTCGTCAGTATACGCACCGACTACTGCACGATACCTGATTCTATAATAATAATGAACAGCGACGGTCTGAGAGTTTGATTCATTTTTATGACTAATGACATGATTAATGTTGCGGTAACGCAAGTCAACACTTCTAATTAACTTTCTGAATGAATCTTACACGATTCGTGACGATGTCGCCTCATGTGTAGGTTCCTGGTGGGAGGTAACGGCAAGGTGTACGAGGGCTCCGGCTGGCTGCACGTCGGCGCGCACACCTACGGGTACAACTCGAGGTCCATCGGAGTCGCATTCATCGGCAACTTCAACAGTGAGTCCCTCCACAGTCATATTCCGTCTAGAGTTCGCGCACGTGAAAACGATCTTCATCCTTCATTTTGTGTGACTGATATGATCGGATGGAAAATACCCTGCAGCTAAGACGGAAGATGTTTCTGATAATAAGTCACCATCAGCTATTGCCCAAAAAAGGGTGATAGTCTAACTGCACTAGAAACCATCATTTCATACTTTAAGAAGCAACGCAATGTTGTTTTGGAACAGAGACGCACGGGCCGGTACCGCTCCCCTGACTATTTCTGCCGCGGTTAGAGGGTGGGACTCCGGTTACCGTTATGCAGCAATTGCGATGTTTTACGATGAGTAACGGCAATCACTTTGTAAATGGATTCGGATTAACGCCGGTTGCTAGCGACTAACACCAGCCCGACCTTTAATACGTTAAAATAAAAAGGAATACGTACATATGTAATAATCACGCTGGTTTTAGTTTAAAGCACCATCTTTATATTTATCGTGGAAATTAGTCTTCAACATGTGTGTACAAGGTTGAGCCCCCACAGAGTGCGTGATGCGTGCACCTTGTATGACGAGTACATCGCGAGTTGTCCTTTTGACTACGCTGCTGGGTATGAGTATGTCAACATAAAGCTAGTGCGATGATCGAAATGCTTGTGGTGTCAGCGGACGAGCCGAGCGGCGCGATGCTGGAGGCGCTGCGGTCGCTGCTGCGCTGCGGCGTGGAGCGCGGCCACCTCGCGGGGGACTACCGCGTCGTGGCGCACCGACAGCTCATTGCCTCTGAGAGCCCCGGCCGGAAGCTCTACAACCAGATACGACGCTGGCCTGAGTGGCTGGAGAACGTGGACTCCATCAAGAACGCGTAACATTATCACAGCGTATCGCATAGCGCCGTTCTTGTTGTGTTCAGATCTTGGACAAGTGTCAACTCATATAGTATTTACGCGTAATATAATTTAAACTACTTATAAATTAAAATTAAAACTGGCTGTTTTTTAATTACACTGTTTACCCTGGTTCGAATACTTAAGCTCAGTTTCGTTGACATTTGGATATTGTCTTGAGACGGACTTTCATATAAAATTATTTCTAGACTTTTGAGTTTCGTTTCCCACAGAACAAATTAATGCTATCTTGAGGTATTGCAGTTTGTTCCACACTTAAGGTCTTTTTGTATTTCAATGGTCTCTCACACCACACGTACATGCCTCTTGTAGCATTGACGCTGAGCGGCACAAATAGAGATATCCGTTAGCAGATCCATTAAAAAGACATCTTTGGACCAATGTTTGTCAAATCCCGTTCGACGATTTCGAAGGGTACCTTTGCTTTGACTGCAGCTAGTGTTATTTAATTAATTTATTTATTACTAAGATGGATAGCCCAGCTCCCGATCGCCTGATGCTAAATGTTCACCGGAGCCCAGAGACATAAATCACACGAGTTCCAAGTCTCAGTTTTTACACGCTTTATATTAGCTTCACTTGTATGTATGTTTGTAACTGACTCCTTTAGACGCGATTTTGACCCACTTTAAACGGCCAAATTTCATTCAAACTTTGTAGATTTATTGAAGACCGTTGACAATACACTAATTTGATAAGATTATTCTATTATTCAATTTGCAAAATAATATTTTTGCCAATTTATATAATTTTTATCTATAGTCGGTAAGGCAGGAGTTGATTTTAAAGTGATTAATAGTTTTAAAAATACGCTTTTATAGAAAATTTATTCAAAAATGTAAATTAAATAATAGTTTAAAAAAACTAAAAAACACGCTTTATGTAAAATTCAACTAAAAATAGAAAATAAATTGTTATAAATTTAAATTGAAAATAGTGTAGAAAAAAATTATTTTATTTAAAAAAAAGCGTGGGGTGCTTTTTAAGATATTATTGAAATAATAATTCTACTCAAATCTGTCAGAAAAATATTTATAACTAATAACACCATGCACCCCACGCTTTTTTTACAATAAAATTATTATTTTTTATAAAGGCGTGGGGTGCTTTTTAAGATATTATTGAAATAATAATTCTTCTACTCATATCTGTCAGAAAAATATTTATAACTAATAGCACCATGCACTCCACGCTTTTTTTACAATAAAAAAAAAATATTTTTTACCCTATTTTCAATTTAAATTTATTAAAATTTATTTTCTATTTTTTAGTTGAATTTTATATAAAGCGTGTTTTTTAGTTTTTTTAAACTATTATTTATTTTACAATACAACGGCTGCCCCGCCCTTCAAACCGAAACGCATTACTGCCTCGTGGTAGAAAGGCGGTGGTACCTATCCGTGTGAACTAACAATTCACAGCTATATGCCTATCGCGATAACATCCTTGTTTTCCAAGGTAATGGAGTGAATAATAAATACGCAACTCCTGAAGTATCTTAAGGATCGCCTGTTGATCTATGACCGACAGTACGGTTTCCGTCATTGTCGCTCAGTTGGTGCATACCTTACGCACCGGTGGGCTAAAGCGGGTAGGTTGGAGAGTCAGGCCGAGGCTTTCACTGTAAGCCTTGATATCGTGAAGGCCTTCGACAGGGTCTGGCATAGGGCACTTCTATCGAAGTTACCATCTTACGGAATCCCCGAGGGACTCTGCAAGTGGATCGCTAGCTTTTTGGATGGGCGGAGTATCACGGTCGTTGTAGACTGTTTCTGCTCCGATACAATGACCATTAACGCTGGTATTCCACAAGGCTCGGTGCTCTTCCCCACGTTTTTCATCCTGTGTATCAATGACATGCTATCTATTGATGGTATGCATTGCTATGCGGATGATAGCACGGGGTATGCGCGATATATCGGCCAACAGGGTCTCTCCCGGAGCGTGGTGCAAGAGAGACGATCAAAAAACTTGTGTCCGAAGTGGAGAGCACTCTGGAGCGAGTCTCCGAGTGGGGTGGATTGAACTCGGTTCAATTCAACTCGTTGAAGACACAAGTTTGTGCGTTCACTGCGAAGGAGGATCCCTTTGTCATGGCGCCGCAATTCCAAGGAGTATCCCTGCAACCTTCCACGAGTATCGGGATACTTGGAGTCGGCATTTCGAGCGATGTCCAGTTTCGAAGTCACTTGAAGGGCAACGCCAAGCTGGCGTCCAAAATACTGGGAGTCCTCAACAGAGCGAAGCGGTACTTCACGCCTGGACAAAGACTTTTGCTTCATAAAGCACAAGTCTGGCCTCGCGTGGAGTACTGCTCCCACCTCTGGGCCGGGGCTCCCAAATACCAGCTACTTTCATTTGAATCCATACAGAAGAGGACCGTTCGTATTTTCGATAATCCTATTCTCGCGGATCGCTTAGAACCTCTGGAAGCCTCTGGGTCTGCAGAGGGACTTCAGTTTCCTCTGTATTTTGTACCGTATGTTCCATGGTGAGTGCTCTGAGGAATTGTTTGAAATGATTCCATCATCTCGTTTTTACCATCGTTTTTACTTTTAATACTACCTGGAGCCTCTGCACTCATTACTGCGTCCACTGCTTACCACAATCGCGTAAGTTGTGATCGGATGTACTTAGCTATTTTTGTAAAATGTCACAGGAGTATTGATGTAGTCTAGTATGTTGTACTTCGGTGGGAAAAACAGGCAGTACTTTAATATTTTAGAAAATCCTGACGAAGCTGAGAAACACAGAACCTAGTCACTTTAATTAATAGTTCCATGAACTCATGTCACTAAACGTTCGCGAGTCCCTCGAGGCTGATGTGTGCCGACTCAGACGGATTGCTTAGCAAATTGTTTTCGTGAACACAGATAAGTTCGGCAGAGTTAAACCTCTTAGAGTGATTAAGCCACACTAGCAACGTAATCAATATACACATTACTAGTTAATGCGGGTCAAGGTATGGGCGATGACCTACCACTACCTGCTTAATGTCAGAAGAGTTTCCAGAGCGGGGTCGCAGTGTCGCGGAGTTGCAGTGTCGCGGTGTTGCAGTGTCGCGGTATCGCAACAGCCTAGGAACTTATCGAATGGTGTAGTGCCAAATTTCAAAGTGAACAAAGCTCAATCTACTACTGCTAACCTCAACTTACCTAGTAGTCTGCCCGACTTGCCTCGGCTAAGGTATTTATCAGGCAGGTCATTCATAGAGGGCAGGAATGACAGTGCCGTTTGAACTGGTAACTTTTACAACTTAAAAATACTATAAAATAGTATAAAATAGTATTTTTAGAAAAATGTGTAATTATTCACGGTACGGTCCGTAACTGAAAGCCTCATGAAATATATTAAAAGACAGTAGGTAGTTTTAGAGAAGGGTCGTTTACTATCAGATGACAAGCCATAGGTATTGCATGTAGAGAGCTAGGAGTCGTCGAGGTCCTGGTCGAGCTGCAGCCGCACCTCGTACTGCGCGCGGTACCACACCCACCAGGAGAGCGCGTGGCGCGTCGCCGCCGACACCACCCAGCAGTAGTAGCACACCTGCAGGAATCGACGCGACCATTCACATAGCGATGCCTCATCGAACGAGATTATGGCATGTGACTGGGCTATTCGGGACATACCTATTTAAATTTTTTTTCTACCTACTTTTTTTTCATACCCATGCGTCATAGTTATGTTGTGCCTAATACATAATTTTAAGAATAAATAGTTTTTACTCGGAGATGTTCAATATTCAGCACTCAATAATAATGAGATGGTTGTTGCCCAGAATAAGGGAGATCATCGTTAAAAGGGATAGCTTTTTAATTTTTTCGGCACGCGCGTGTTCGATAAGGAATACTTTCTACTCTACCGAAAAGAAGTCCCGCAGTAGATACGAACGAATACTGTAATAATGATAGTTCACAATGAGTAACCAGGGTCATGCAGGCTAGCACGAAGGTGGACGCGAGTGGCCAGGGCGTGAGGCGCGGGTCCTGCGCCATCAGCGAGGAGAGCGTGCGGCCTGACAGCCACGCTGCCAGCACCGCCAGCGGAGACATCAGCGCCAGCCCCAGCCCGTCCACCAGCAACTAATCGAGATGAAACACGAGTTAAGTTTACAGCCTCACCAACCTCATGTATGAGGTTTCCGCGTCTAGCAAGCGGCCGGGGTGTGCGGGTCTTGACCATCCACAGCAGGGGTTCGGGTAGTCCACGGGTCCAAAGATGTTTTAGGGCCCCACACACAAAGGACTCCCCTTGAAGTCTATCAACCGACGTCCGAACTCCACAGCAGGGGATTGCCGCGGTCAACACTACCTATATGAAGTCGTCCTGGCCTAAAGGAAAATTAGATGCCCGGTGCATTCGTATCTAGAGATGCGACTGAGGCGGCGCGGCGGCGCTCGAATCCTATCAGAAAAATTGGTACCTGGCAATAGCCAGGATAATAATGTTAGGAATTACATCCACGGCGAAAAAATAGCATCGTGTAAAAATAAAACCCGCAAAAATTATAGTTTGTGCAAATTTTTTAATATTTTTTTATAAATGAGGGATTACTGGTGGCCCTGACACCTTTCCAGTTTCCCAGGATAGGTGAACGAGCCAAGGTCAGCCAAAGGAGACCTAACAACTCAAGAGCAACTGCTACGCGAATGAATCTTCAACCGGATCGGAATCGGAGGTGTGAGATTTCTCCTCCTAATGTGGGAGGAAATCCGTGTGGAGTTTTCCCTTTGAAATAGCACCGCTGTGCTTTTCGGTGGGTTGATGAAATAAATTTAATAGTAATACTAATAGAGGTAATAAGAGAAATTATTTGTCATCAAGTATCTCAAAACTGCACTGGCGCAATACTGAAGGAGGTAAATACACTCGGAATACGAGTGAAGTAGCATATCACAGACTAACTTCGGTTAGCTGCGTTACCTGTTTCGCGCTGTGGCTGAGGAGCCACACCAGCATGGCCCTCGCCAAGCCATAGCGGTGAACCCGCTGGGTGTGGTAGCGCGCCCCACAGAGCTCGCAGCGCGACTTGGCCGCCTCGGTGAGCCACCGCTCCAGACAGCGCACGTGCACTCGACCCACCGTGCCCCGACAGCGACACGCAGCCACCAGCGCTCCCTCCGCGCCGTGACAGATCCGACACATCTCCTCTGCATCGAGCGACCTGCCCTCTGCTTGTTCTGTGTCGTCAATAGTTGGTGCGCATCTCTTGGGACTCCTCACTTTGATACGATGTTGACTTACTAAGCTATCATTTTGTTTACAGTTCGTCTCGCTTTCACCATTCAGAGTTACTGAGCTGGCCACAGAGGCGTTTTCCGGAGCCCTTAGGTAATGATAGAGATCGATGTTACTAGAGCTGGCGGCCACGTCCTTGTCCAGCGTCGCGGTGGAACGTTGCTTCGTGGTAGCGAGAGACGCCGAGCTCTCGTGGTCGTCGGACACATTCAGAGAACAAATCTCATTGGAACTGTTAGGACGTGTCTTGTTCTTTTGTACACAATTTTCTCCGGCATGGTCGGGGAGCGCGGACTTCGATTTGTAGCTGGCAAACGAAAATGAAATAAGCGAAATAAATATGTACTCACCGGTCTACAGTGCTATATACAGTTATTGAACGAGTAGTTTGTACGCTTTGGACATTAGATGACTACGAGTCGTTTAAAATCATATTTCACTAATATATTCGTATAGGTATATGTAGCTACGCCTCGGTATATTTAAAGAGTAAAGAGTTGCCTGCAGTTGCCCCAGTTTACCTCGGCAGTATTCTCGGAAGTTTTTCCTAAATATTCAAATTAATATCACGACAATGACTATTTATGTTCTGTTCATATAACTTTATAAGTGGTCCCCCCAGAATTAAAATCGATTGTCTTCTAGTTTTCTAGAGTTAACAAAAATTATAACATCATATTAGTTGTGGCGGGCAAACACTTTTAGATGCCCTGTCCTACTGAAATCGACTCGAATCCAAACGACTACAAGTTACGCTGTGTCGTTATCCCCCATTAGGACGCGAGTGAGTCCGCAGGGACTGGCTAGTAACTAAGTGTCAGGTAAGCCAGATGTCGGTCGTGGAATGGCTAGAAGCGCACCTGTTATTGGAGGCGCCCCTCGCTCGGTGAGACTTCGGTCGTTGTGTATCATTTTGCACGGAGAATCGGCGTCGCCTCGTGTTCGGCATTTCACACGAAATTTATATTTGTTTTTTTTATTTATTAAATCGGTCTTACATGACAGTTACACGCTCATTGCTAATTTTGACATTGTTTTTTTCTTTTATTTTTTAAATATTGCAATGAGTTGGGTTACACTCCTCCTTGCGTCGATAATCCTCAATACTGAGGGTCGTGGCCTCCTCTAACAACTTTTCCTGTATTATCCTGCGCCATTCCTGCCTATCCTCGGGTGTGTGGATAGCAACGTAGACTGAAGTATTGAGAGTGGAGCGCATCTGGTCCGACCAACGCATTGGACTTCTGCCTCTGGGCCTTCTTCCGCCCACTTTGCCTGTTACCAGCAGCATTTCCAAATTGTCACCTCTCTTTCTGGCGATATGTCCAAAGAACTCGAAATTCCTTCGCGCGCATATATTGCTGAGGCGTATTGGAATCTTTAACTCGGTAAGAATGGATTCGTTGGTTCTGTGTTCTGTCCAACGAGTCCCGAGCATTTTCCTCCAGCACCACATCTCCGATGCGTTAGCGGTCGGCTTTCTTGAGGGTCCAAGTCTCTGCGCCGTAGAGAAAAATGGAGAAGACGAGGGGGGTGATGAGCTGCTTTTTGGTATTCCTTGAAATGTTTCTGTCCACCCATACCCGGTCCAGGGACCGGGGAGGGACATAGCTCTCTTTGCCATACCAACCCGCTTTCTGATGTCCTTATCGGAGGATCCATTACTAGCTATGACGGAGCCCAGATAAATGAAATCCTCTACGACTTCCAGGTTTAGCTTATTGGTCATAGTAAGAGAATGGCTGCGATCGACCACCATAATTTTGGACTTTGCTCTATTTATGACAAGCCCCATTATTCTGCTGGTTCGTTCCAATTTGCCCAGCAGGATGCACTTTTCCTCTTCGTTGGTCTTTGTAAAATTGACTTAACATCAGGTAGTCCCTGAGCTCGTCCACCCATTTAGACAATAAAGAAGGAATGTCGTATAGCGTCAGTGAGCGTGCTCTTCTCTCTCCGCAATAATGTGTCGATGTCGTGTCGGTTGCTGGGGTAGCAATCTTGTGGTATGCGACCGGCTCGAGCCGCCTTGGTGATTCTGATTTCTTCCGCGTGCCGGTTCGCGAATTTCCGCAAAGGAGACCCGAGGAGAAGACGTGTAAGTTGCTCTACACGTGTATACTACACGCGATAGACAAACCGCCTGATGGACGATCACGTTCACCGAATAAATAATGATAATAACAATAACAGAAGTAGACATCAGCACGTGTCAGTGTCAGCGTTGACCAGAACGGCGCCGGTGTCTATCGGTGCGGGCTCGCATTGTACACACTTAGAGTATGTTTGTTGAGTAAAATTAGAGTATGTTTTTAATTTTATGTCAAAGGCGAACATACGGCTCTTCCGATAGTGAGTAGTCACCGTCGCTTAGGGACAGAGTACACGTATTCTATTGAAGCAGAGTAAACTTGAATGGATCACTCTGTGTAATGTGAGCAGTGGAGAGAGCCAGCACGCGGCTCGGCTCCGGTCGGCGCGGCGTCAGTCCATCCGGGGCGAGCCTCGGGGGCGCGCGTCTACCAGCTGCTCACTGATAAAGCTCGCGACGCTACGACACGACACGAAAGTTGCTGTACTTGTTCATTCCTTTGGTCGTGTATTTGAATGGATTATAATATCATGTTAGATAGTTGTAATGTTTGTGTTTGTGCTTAAATGTTTACATTTTGTAAAGTAAGTAGTTTAAAAGATATCTTGTCATTCTAAAACTTCGTCATACACAAATAAACACATTGACGCATTAAAAATTAAATATTAAAACAAAAAATAATTTAATTAAATTAGCCTTTTAAAGTCTATAATTATATATTCTCAAATACGATGCGAGTTAGCGAGGTCGAATAGCGAGTTCAAGAAGGAAATTGACTTAAAAAGTGTTCACCTGCCGGTCGGACCGGTGTGTTGGCCTAGACAACTAGACACGAACAGGACGGTCAACCTGTGAAGAGTATTTGCATCTCCTTGTATCCAGGGGAGCGCACAGCGGGACACGGACTCAGCGTACCTGCACCGTGTGCTACGTGCGTTGTTTACTGAACTGTGCTGCGTGCTGCTCACCTGTGACGAGGGTGCCACACATGTGCAGCAGCACTCGGCAATGGGGCAGACCAGATCTAGAATTGAGTCGCCGGCGCGCTATGGGTGGCGGCTTATTGTTAGCTCGCGCGGACCCTGCTTGGAACTGAGTAGTGGAGTGAACGGACACACCAAATAACTGTCGCTGCTTTATCGCCATATAGTTAGTTATATTGATTCGTTTCAATATACCCAAATGTCTATTAACATCTTTCTCTCAAGTTGGATGCCATGCAACGTGCACCGGTCCTGAGAAGATCCGGCGGAATAAGCTCAGCAGGCTTGTTCTTATATACCTTATATTTTTTTAATGTCAAAAAAATTAACGACACTACTGCGGTATTACATAAATATAAAATAATAGGAATTGAATGAAATGAAATGTAGAGGTGGAGAGCGTACACTGCCAGTCTATCGAGGGTCCTGTTGAGTGCCAATTCGGCCAGTGTTTAACTTTATAAAAGAACTTGTTGCATTGAAGTTCCTTGATTGATTTATTTCTTAGAACATGCTGTAGTTGAACCTATGCAGCTCTGCCGCCACCGACTGCCAAAGACTCTCCTTAAACATTGTTTGATGATGGAACTCCATGATGGAAACACCATGCAGAGAAGTTCATTCAAAAGTGGCATAGTGTATGGCCAAAAAAAATCTGGAAATGCACCGTAGCTGAAAATATTCCTTATAGGTATTGCAAATGAACTCTGTACCTGTAGCAGGCGATGCGAAGGTGAAAAAGAGATAAGGCGATCGAGATGAAACAATTCTTATGATCATGCCCCATGGAACACATATTAACAAAAACGCAGAGAGAACCGAAATCCCTGCTGCATTTGCCACGATAAGTCCGTGCAGTAATATTTTGAGATTTGTACGAAGGGACATCCGTTATTGAACATACGGTTGAGAAGCCTCGAGGCGGGTAAAGGCCTCACGTTGTGTGTCTTAGTTCAGCAAACACTTAACACTAAGTGGGTTATGGCTTTTACTTACGTCTGGGCAGTAAATATACGAGGAGAACATTAATCTTTAAGTTATGAATAGTAGAGGCAATGTTTGAGTCGCAAACATAACGTGAAGACGCTAAGTTCAACACTTGTGAATGCGAAAGCAACTTTACGAACCATATTATCAGTCAAATTGTGATATTATTTTATTGGTATAATTTTAATCCAGGTTCAAAGTTCAGATGATGTGATTGTGCAATTCCACATACATGGATCCTCGCAGCTTACTCCATCAGTCCAAGCACAGTAGTGCGCCAGTAATGGACGCGATGTTCAACATTACAGCAGAGCGTCAGAAGTTCTACGCTAGTGCAGCCTTCAAGGACATGTCTAAGAATAAAGACGTAGAGGTATGTTTGTTTGTGAAGTGATCTTAACATCGCGCAATCGCGCGGTTTCACATCAAGGTGCTCGGCGGGGGTCGGCGGGGGTCGGCGGCAGTGCATCCCTGTCAACCTTCGATGCATCACCAGTTGTCACTCTGCTCGAAGTAAAAGATTTAATCGAAGATGTAAAGGGCGTCTTAGTAGTAGTGCACTTATTCGTTTCAAAATAAAAATAAAGTATTTCTTGAGCTAGTTATAGTTATTTATTGGATTGTAAGGAAGACATGTCCCGATTTAGTATGGAATAAAATATCCGTCAAATGACCCCCACGGCTCCGTCGACCAGCCATTATTCTTTTCATGAATTTCCATGAATTTTTCATAGAAATGTGGCTGTATCTCACGGATGACCCGTTGGATCTCGAATTTCAACTCAATAATTGTTTCTGGTTTCTTCGCATAAGCCTGAAATTCCACAAAACTCCAAAGGAAAAAATCGCACTGCGTCAAATCGCATGATCTTGGTAGCCAATTGACATCAGAATTTCTATAGAAAATATGTTCTGGACATCGTCACTGCAATAAAGTTATTTTTTATTTTAACTGAAGGTGGAGGTCTTTTGTCAAACTTCTCTGTGTAGCAAGCACTTCGTGCAATTTGAAGTTGTTGAGAACGATGACAAATTGATGTTGTCGGTTGTTCGGTGACACTTTCGTTTTTTTTAATTTTTTTATTGCTTACATTGGAGGACGAGCCCATAGACATCTACAGCGTAAACGCCGTCACCCATCTTGAGATAATATGGGTTCTAAGGTTTCAGTATAGTTACGACCCCCCACCCTTCAAACTAAAACGCATTATTGGTTCACGGCAGAAATCGGCAGGGTGGTGGTACATACCCGTGTGTACTCATAAGATGCCCTACCACCAGTAAAATCGCTTACACCAGCAATGTTTTCAAGAGACCGACCGGCACATTGACGGCACAGGAGTCTTGCTGCCCATAAACCGACCCGGTTTCTTCAAAATTTTTAACCACTCTTCGAATGGTTGGGACATTAGGTGCGCTTTCTCGACTGAAAATTCTTCGAAGCTTGCGAGCGATCTCAGCATACCTTTCCAAATGATTGTAATAAGTTTTCAAAATTAAAAGGCATTGCCTTTCTTAAAGCGCTCCATTTTCAATAATCGTAATAAACATTATGTGACAGCTGCCGAATTTCAGAGTTTCAAAGCCACTTAAATATTAAATGTATCTATGGTCGCCACTGGCACAAAAATATGACACTAAATTTAAAAAGCAATTCTTACTAGGACACCCAATTTAACAGCAAAAAGCTCTGCCTCCGACGATATGTTTTATTTATGTTTCAAATCTGTACCCGGCCAACCTATCGTTATGTTTGTCATTATTTCCAATGACGTTATGTTGTAGCTCGTTTCAAAAACCCCAGTCGTTTCGACGCGTCGTTCCTGTTGCTTCACAAACGAAGCAGACACTCATCGGTCCGGCTCCGAAAGACTCGAGCTACCGTTCGATTAGACTTTTAAAGTCTCTTGGCAAATTGTATGGGCGTTTCTCTGGCACTTTCGTTAGCTCGGACTTCATTTGCAGCCCGTATTCAAAAGCAAAATGCCCAGCTTGGATCCCGCCTCTAATATTTGCTTTTTCCTTTGGTTTAGTTAGAATTAAAGCGCTTTCCACCTGTGTGTTTGTTACCGCTCACATCGTTGTAATGCTAATAACGCTTGAGAGATGCCCGGTGACAGTGTGCTGTTGACTACATTTTAAACCTCCTCGGAAAAGGAAAAATATGTACTTATAGCTGAAGCAATGTCTGGTGGCATCAATGGCCCGATATTCGTGTTTGTAGGTGGAGGCGACAAAGTTAGTCCACTTAGTTTAAAACAGAAAGGCTTCACGGATCTTAATAGCGATTCATTGCAAGGTTTAATAACCCATTGCTTCTGTGAGATGCATTCTCTATTGATTTCTATGCAGCTATCTCGTTGTACTGTCGTCAATATATGACAATATATGAGGAAGTAGGCTACGTAAGTTAATCCCTCTACTTTTTTCCGTTATTATTGGGTTTGAGTTGTACTGTATTGGAACTTAGATCAATATTAAGGTTGGAAAATCAAAGAAAAACCTTAAAAACAGTTTTACGGTATAATACGGAGTGACGATGCAACAGCGCCCACCGAACCCATTCTAGCGAGGGATCTGAATCCAGCACATCGGGCGAGTAACGGGATTTAATGGTAGACTGGGTGCCCGATGTACTATCGGAGCGAAACTCTCTGGGTTGATTTAAGGCACTGAGATCGGTCGATCGGTTCCCTTCAGGGGTATTCTCTATAGTCTTCGATATGTGTCTATGTTGTAAAAAATATTGCTTTATACTGCACTGGGCTTATGGATTCCCGGGACACCTAGTGTTAAGCGTTACCTGATGCTATTAAGTAACATGAAAACAAATGTTTAAAATTGACTGCACCTAAGTTAGACAAGTAGACACTAACATTATAAACGATCGTAAGTAGAGAGCGTCTTGAGCTTCTCGCAACGGTATTTCTTTGGCATGAAGATTGAGTTGCGCTCATAGCGGGGTCAGCACGCGTCCAAAATAGCGAACGGATGTAGTTGTGCAGCGTGTTGTGGAGGCGGCCCGTCTCGCGCTGCGGGACCACGCTGCCGGTGTGCAACTGTTTCCGTCCGGCAGAAGAGGGTTGTTCGTGTCGCTTATCATATTTACTCGTTGGACTCCTCGAGGGAACGCTTTAAGGAAATCAATGTTCAACCTTCAGGCTCAAGAATATGCTTGCGTTCCCAACGGTTCAAATCAATATCGGAACTCTTATAGGTGGGTGGCTGAGTGGGCACATCCTCGACAACATCTCACAAGGCTTCAATACTGCCTGTTCATAATTTAAGAAAATGAACTAAACGAACTCTATTATAAACGAAAGCTATTTAAGCTACGCGAGTAGAGACGCTCGCTCTACACCTACTGAATATTGCAATCCCGTTACAACTGTATTTTTTGAAGTTGAATCACTATAGTGCTGGCAAAAATATATTATAACACTTAAAAATAAACGCATTGTCTCTCAGTTTGTTCCGCTGGTTCTTGCCACGACTGCGACTCTCCTCCTAACTCTTCGAGCTATGGTACTTTCACGACCAGTAAGAATGTGCAATAGCATCCATATTAAAAGAAATGATTGTGAATTTGAATGTAGAATAAAAATTATTGGCATCTATTTAAGTTGTAAGTAATTCCTTTATACCTAGTAGTCGGGTAGGTCCGGATTGTGACACCGCTCCATCGGGTTCCATGAGGCCCTTGCCAGGCATCTAGTCCACTGAGAATATATTATTATGTAGTTCTACAGTACTAGCCCAAGCTTACAAGTTTACAAAGCTTGATTGTTGTTGTTGTCGTCAGGTGGTGTACACTTGGGAGATGGACTTGAACCGCAGCCTGCTGGGCGCGTCAACGATCCTGGTCCCCCGCGCGACCACCGCCAGCCCCCCCGCCCCCCTCATGCCGCCCTGGGCACACAACTCCTGGATCTGCGTCTTCTCTATCATGCTCATTATAGCCGTCGGAGGAAACGCTATAGTCATATGGATTGTGATCGGTACGGGTGTCCTCATATTTGACTGCTACAGTACGGAGAGAACGCTAGCATGACGTGCAGCTTACCTTTTGATAAGTTGTGACCCGCATCCATGAATTAGCGCACCACTAACCGTACAATAGTCACGCGACTACGCAATACACAATAAGATGTTCGGAATAATAAAATGAATTCGCCTGTTTGTTGTTGAGCAGCTCACAAGCGCATGCGCACGGTGACCAACTACTTCCTCGTGAACCTGTCGCTGGCGGACCTCATGATGTCCGCGCTCAACTGCCTCTTCAACTTCATCTACATGCTCCACAGGTATCGACAACCGCTCTCTGTACCTACTACTTGTTATTAGTTCCATTACAACATTGTGCGCCTGACGAAGGTTGAATGACCTTGTTACTGCTGCTAAAGGTTAATATCTTCAACCAAAGCTACTTGCTTATTGCATTCAAGTACGGACACTTTCAGCTCGTCATAATCTAATAAAGATTCGCCACTGAACAATCGGTCCGAAACTTAGGGCTTTCCCTTTTCCAACATGTACCCCAATGTGTACAACGCTTCATGAACATTGACAACAGTTATCAAATATATTTAAAACGAGCACGACTAGAACTAGAACAGGCGCACGTCCCTGGGCACGGACTCAGGACCGTTCAGGACCACTCAAACTTGAGCAGTCAAACTCACGCAGATTGGTCAATCACGTAGTCAACTATGTGACAGTAAGCAATCACTATTATAATACTTTTCATTGTTATTTTAAAACATATAAAAGCAAGATCCAAAATAAACGACTCATGAAAATTAGGAATTCCCGGCTTAATGACATCCTTCTTCGATGACGACATAAGTCTCATCACTTCCTTTCTCTTCCTTTGCACGTCGCAGCGGGAATCGTAAGCGAGGGGAATTTATTCCGTTACGTGCCAGACAGCGGATCATTTTTTCTCAGAACAACAACAATTTACGATTTATTTCATAATCTTGTTTTATAAAGAAATTTACAAAGATTTTTTTTCATCATGAAAAGTCATCTCGAATAAAGGGAGCCCTCGTCCCGAGGGTTGTTTGTTAAGTCAACCGAACAGCCACCCGGTCACGTGTGCCTTCTAATCACTGACATATCGGGCCGGGCGTCACGCGCTGTATTTTCCTATGCGATTTTGTTGTTTTTTCTTTTCTATTTCCATAATCCATCGTCATAATGAAGCTTAAGATAAATATACGAGTTTTTATTGAAATAGATTCATTGGTTCGTTTAGAAAGCTAATGATAAATTAGGAGATAGCTCTTAGCGCAGAGGTCTGCACTGCACTACTGCACGGGCGGCACATAGTGCGAGTATACTCGCGTAACAATCAGTCGCACACCGCCACAGTTGAGGGCGCGGCGCGTGCACAACTTGCGATGCCGCTACCGTGGGTGGCTCTACGTACGTTCTGCCACTTTAGGATTTCAATAAAAATTCTATTACGCTATTTACTCAACAGCGGTTACTTTTTTGGAACATAAACTTTAAAAAAACAGCTATAGAACTTATATTAAATTACTTATTATTAAACTATTATAAAGTTATTATTAAATAATATTTTCTATAGCAGGCAGAATAATAAGTCGCAGTTGCATAGTTGCATACTACTGAACCTTCAAAAAGCCTGGGTTCAAGAACTGTTCGTGCTACCACATCCCATTATTTAGATATTAGATATAAAGATAAAAAAAACACTTGAGCGTGTCCCGTACGAAGTGAACGATCGCCAGCACGACGAAAATTGTCAGCTACTAATATAAAATTGAAATTAATAAAAGAACTAATACAATAAATAATGAAATAATGTTAACTGAGTAACCGTCACCATACCAGTCACTGTGTTAGATTAATGAGAGACAGATGCTTATTACAACAGTGTCTTATATAGGGGCAGTCCAGTCTGTTTGCAATCATGGCCAGGACCGTGTTGGAGCTGGCCCGCACTCTGCGTACCAAGGATGCGCACCGCTTGCGTATGGTCGCATGAAAGCAATCCGTACGAGCCACTGCGAACATACCCGAGGCGCTACAAAACCGGGGCAGCTCCAACACAGCCCTGAAAGCGTTATTGAACTGGACGCGGATCGCGCTGCATGCACGTTGCGTATAGTCAGCCCACAGAGCACAGGTGTACAGAGAGGTGCAGTACGCTCGAAACAGAGTTATCTTCACCCCGTCTGAGCTCCGCGCAAACCTGCGAGCCAACATATTCGCCCGCACTGACAACGCTCTCCGCTCCCGCTCGATATCTTTAATATCGCTAAGGTCGGCAGTTACTACATGCCCCAGATATTTAAATTCATAAACCCTGACTAGGAGAGTACCGTTCAAGAATACAGGTGGTATACTCTGAGGACATTTAGCACCACCGCCTTTAAATACCATAAACTGGCTTTTACTAGTATTGTATCTCAGACCGTGACCACCGGCATATTCCTCACAGACACGTATAAGCTCTCGGAGACCGCAGACCGACGCACTCAGCAACACCATGTCGTCCGCGTAATTTAGATTATTAACACAAACGTCATCGACATGACAACCGACATGTTTGCCGCTGAGCCCGCCGATCAGCGCGTTTACATACACATTGAACAGCGTTGGCGAAGTCAGTCATTATGATAGGCAAAAATTTCTTAGTCATTATGACACATTTATTGAATTAATTTTGTAGTTAATTCACGTCCATTGATGCCTCGTATCGCCCCTGACGAAGCTTTACTTTAGTAGTTTTAGTCGGTAATGTGCTCGCAGTGACTGGGTGTTCGGGCTGCAGTACTGCAAGATCAGCAACTTCATCGCGAACGTGACAGTGGCTGCCAGCGTGTTCACGCTCACGGGGATATCCTTCGACAGGTGAGGCGGGACTAAGTTTCAGCACGCGTTTATACAACTGAAGAGCATTTAATAAGGCTATTTATTAATGCTTCGAGTAATGTTGCTACTACTTTTCTATGCGCATAGTAAAGATATTCCCACCCGTGGCTCATTGCGGGTCTCTGGGTCTGGTGCCATCGTTGGGGGCCGCCGCCCGGGTACGTACGGGCTGCCCCGGTGCTATCCCGGTGCTACGGTGCAGTTCGTAGCTTGCCAACTAGTCACTTAAATAAATGTTTTTCGCGATCCAACGAGCAGCGAGAATAATGACTCAAATTCGTTGCAATATGAATAGTACAATGTTTAATAATTGTGAACTCCTTGTAATGTTCGGCCCATGAGAATGAGCGAGTGACTGGCAGGTTCCAAGCGATCGTGCGTCCGATGCGGCCGCGCATGTCCAAGACCTGCTCTCTGATCGCGATCGGCGGGATCTGGCTCGGCGGGATGGTGCTCGCCACGCCCTACCTGCTCTACTCCACCACCAAGGAATACAAGTTAGTACATTGACTATATATATATGTATGTATGTATGTTCGTAAGTGCTCATTATCGGAAGCTGCCAGCAACGTACGGTAACAAACTCAAGTTCAACTTGTGAACAGATTATTCCAATGTTTCGCGAGGACTCTAAATACATATTATTTTATTATTACCTATATTGTATTAAGTAATAGTGAATAATTAAATTCAGCCGTCGTGAGCTCCCCGAGTTCGTTACAATACCGCAAAGGATATATTTAGGCGCGGTTCGTTCTAAAACAATGTAATTACTTTACCTCAGAACTTTTACTTTAAACATTACGTTAATGAGCTGAAGAAATGGGCCTTAAACTTTCTCTACAACTTATGATCTCGGAACAGAACATTTACAACTTTAATTATTAGCTTCGAACAAAAATAATAAAACGCTTATTTCTAAATAATGAAAAATGATAACAAACATTTAAAATTTACCAAATTACATGATTTTCATATCCCCGACTCGCATATTAGATACCGAGCTAGCATCAAAGGATATCATTATTAGAATTAGAATTAATCTTTAGGACTGGTGTAAGGATCCACAGTGCATAGGGCGCTCTCGCGACCGCGATTAGTTCCGAGCCATTGATTTCTCACTATTGAAATGAGTGTAAGCATATTAAGTGCAACGTATCACATTGTGTACAGGTTCCCGGTACATGCGGTGGGGGTTTGGACCGCTCATTTCTCTTGCTGACATAATGAAAAATTGACTTTTGTATTTGTTAAGTTAATATTTCAAAGATATAATGAATTAAATGTAGAAATAGCATGTAAGCTCTATTATCGATGAAGGGGTAGCGGTGGCTGACGAAGCACAGCTCCGTACACAACAGCACCTGAGCTGGAGAAGATCGATACAATAATGTAACGTGGAGTCTACGATTGAACGATTAATAATTAAAAACACAAAACAGGTTTTTCAAATAGTATTGACTTCATTAATTTGTTGTCAGGTCAAGAGTTGGAGTGAAGACTGCCTGTCTGTTGGTTTGGCCAGATGGCATGCCCGATGTCTCCAAAATGGACTTCGTGTAAGTGCCATATTCAAGTTCCAAGAATCATATACAGAAATTATGAGTCCAGCTGATAAACAATACAGTATACTTAGTCTGGCCATAAATACTGTTACATCTATACTAATATTATAAAGAGGAGTTTTTTTTTTTTATTGCTTGGATGGTTTGTTTGTATTGAATAAGCTCCGAAACTACTGAACCGATTTGAAAAAATTTTTCACTGTTTGGAAGCTACACTATTCCCGAGTGACATAGACTGTAATCTATTTTGAAAAAAAATAAGGGATCCTTACTAAAACTCCAATAATATAACCCAAGGTGTAAAAAAAATACTTAAAATATTCTTTACATCGCGTGCCCTGCGAACACTATTGATGATAGAATAAAATAATGTACTACGACTTTGTAGAACACATTGTTATTTACAAAAAGTGTCGCGACAGCATATGTTTAACTATTATAGCTATGCCGCAATAAGTGTTTTTTTATTTAAAAAAATAAAACAATATCAAATATCGTTGAAATTTTTGTTAAAGACCCGAACTGAGCCGGAGCGGGTTGCTTTTAAAAATAAACAAAATATTACATTTGAATTTGGAATCTGTAATTTTTATATGATTGCTCATTGAGTTGTCTCATTTTGGCGCCAATACATTGTAAAATATTTTGCAATTTAAAATGGAGTGGGGTGATAAAGAGAACCGAATCGCTGTGATTGCATTACACAAAGTAGTTATGGAGCCAAATGCAATTTTTAAAACTCTCCATAGGCTTGGTGTTAGTAAAATGTTTGTGTTCCGGGCTATTAATAGGTGCAATGAGACCTCCTCTGTTTGTGACAGAAAAAAATCTGGCCGTCCACGTAGTGTTCGTACGAAAAAGGTGATCAAAGCAGTAAGGGAAAGAATTCGAAGAAATCCTGTCCGAAAGCAAAAGATTTTATCTCGGGAGATGAAGATAGCACCTAGAACCATGTCGAGTATTTTAAAAGATCGAAAAGCGAGATCGAAACAACTACTGAAGCGGTACGCAAAGGGAGGTCATAGAAAAATTTTGTTTACGGATGAGAAAATTTTTACAATTGAGCAACATTTTAACAAACAAAATGACCGTATTTATGTTCAAAGCTCTAAGGAAGCTTCCCAATTAGTCGACAGAGTGCAACGTGGGCACTATCCGACTTCAGTGATGGTTTGGTGGGGTATTAGCTATGAAGGAGTGACTGGGCCATACTTTTGTGATAACGGTATCAAAACATCGGCACAAGTGTATCAAGATACCATTCTTGAGAAGGTAGTGAAGCCCCTTAACAACACCATGTTGAATAATCAAGAATGGTCCTTCCAGCAAGACTCGGCGCCAGGTCGTAAAGCTCGGTCTACGCGACATTGGCTGGAAACGAACGTTTCGGACTTCATCAGAGCTGAAGACTGGCCGTCGTCTAGTCCCGTTCTTAATCCGCTGGATTATGATTTATGGTCAGTTTTAGAGAGTACGGCTTATTCTAAACGCCATGATAGTTTGGAGTCCCTAAAACAGTCCGTACAATTGGCAGTGAAAATTTTTCCCATGGAAAGAGTGAGTGCTTCTATTGATAACTGGCCTCAACGTTTAAAGGACTATATTGCAGCCAATGGAGACCACTTCGAATAAGCTTTTTATACTTTAAATTGTCTTATATCTATGTATTAAACTAACACACTGTAAAAGTAATAAATGTTATTTGCCATAGAATTTTTTTTGTTTTCGTTTGTAACAGTATATATGGCCAGACTAAGTATATACTCGTATACATATATGTACAAACACGCGACCCAAGCCGGGCGTCGCGGTGCAGCGGCCGAGTCTATGACTTATTCGCGTTGCTTCTCACTTGTGCGTGTAGAGGAGTTGTAGAGGACGATGTACATATTATTATGTACGTATTAAACAAATGTACTTAAAACTACTTTTACTGTTCAATATTGCGTGTATATTGTCACTGTGTTGTTTCCGACGCTTCGAATACTTTACATTGGTCGCGGTCCCGAGCCGCTGAGGCGGTTTCTCCCACTACATACTCGAGCATATCTCAAGTCACTGCTCATCGCAACAACAGTCGATTATATTTACTTACAAAATATAACATGTAGGTACTACATATATAATAAATGTACTAAGTAAGCAGAGGACGGAAATTATTTACAAATATGTGCTTACTTAGACAAGACAGGTGTATATCTGCAACACAGTCTATGACTACAGCAGATAACATCGTTTCAATATTTGTTATTATGATTAAAATTGTATGTTTTTGTAATAAAAAAAAAATATATATATATATATAAATAGCTTTATCTTTTTCATTTATATACTATTTTATTTATTGGGCACCAACACGCTATAAATCAGCACAAAACATTACAACTAACACATACAATAATAATATCTCATACTAAATGCTAACTCAATTAGAGGTACTGACTGCTCGCATTGGTGAAATAAGCGGTTCATTTTATGGCTCTAAAAATTATATATTATATTAGTATAGTATTAGTACATTATCTAGTTTATTGTGTGTGTGTGTGTGTGTGTTTTTTTATTGCCCTTTTAGGGAGACGAGCGACTCATCTGATACTGAGTGGTTACCGTTGCCCATGGACTTTTTTTTGCTTAGATAGGTGGACGAGCTCAGAGCCCACCTGGTGTTAAGTGGTTACTGGAGCTCATAGACATTTAGAACGTAAATGCGCCACCCACTTACTAATTAAAGTCGCTGCACCACCCTTCAAGCCGAAACGCATTACTGCTTCACGGCTGAAATAGGCGGGGTGGTGATATCTACCCGTGCGGACTCACAAGAGGTCCTACCACCAGTAATTACGCAAATTATAATTTTGCGGGTTTGATTTTTATTACACGTTGTTATTCCTTCACCGTGGAAGTCAATCGTGAACATTCGTCCAGTATCTATTTCATTAGAAAAATTGGTGCCCGCCTGCGGGATTCGAGCACCGTTGCATCGCTAGATATGAATGCACCGGACGTCTTATCCTTTAGGCCACGACGACTTCAAGGCAAGTGGGAACAGTACTCCACGGAGGCCGGACTTGTGCTTTATAAAGCAAGAGTCTTTGTCCAGGCGTGAAGTACCGCTTCGCTCTGTTGAGGACTCCCAGCATTTTGGACGCCAGCTTGGCTTTGCCCTCCAAATAACTTCGGAACTGGACATCCCTCGAAGTGTCGACCCCAAGTATCCCAATACTCACATGTAGTAGTGAGTTCTAGTTTTTCTTCTGGAAAAATGAATTGATAAACATTTGGAATTATCCCGGATATTAATCCACGAGCAGGAATATTGCATCAGACGGGCTGTTTGAAATTCTGAAGGGCTTTAACAGATAATGTCTACGCTGGTAAAGGTAGTCACTAATAATTATATTGAAAAACAGAGAACCAAGACGGATGGATATGTCCCTGTGACACCCCGGAGAGTGTCAGTGGGAAAGGGTCAGCAAATAATCCCGACGCTACCACACTAGTATTAGTTTGTGCACGCGATAATGCTCTCAGACTTTTGATCGACTTTGGTGTCCTCATTACTTGTAACAATAGCACAGCAATCTCCTTAAATTGTATTACTAGATAGTACCTATAATTTGTGTTTTTGTTTGAAATGAGCCGAGCACGCCATGTTGCGTGGCATACTGTCATCTCTGCAGTAAGTTGTACGGAGTTTCTGTTATTTGAGAATCATTTCTCAGAAATATAACAAATTTTATTGTTAGCTTAGATTTGCATGAATCGCGTGAACACTTTGGATGTCAACGGACGAATTGCATAACTAGGACACGCAGGTTGTAACTAGCTATTTTTTACATGAAGGGTGGGTTGTTCGATCCATAGTTAAGTAAAGCTGATTTTTTATAATGGCCCACCGCTCTGTCTCGAGGTCTTCTTATGACTTTCACCGGGAGAAGAACCCCTTCTACAGGGGCCAGACTTGGACTAACCGTTTCAGCTCGGAGCGGAGAAGAATGTGCATTCCCTCTCCCGTTCCGCCGCCTCCTTCTCCGACATGGTGCACTCGCATAGTTCTGGGGAGCTGAGGGGGCTGCCACTGAGAGGAGCATCCGCAGGGCAGCGTCGGCCTCTCCAGTCTTAAATTTTAATTCAATTAGTTAGTTAGTCTGGTTTTAAGTTGGAATTTTAATTGGATTTGTGGCCATTAACAATTTATAGAAAATTGTTTTAAATAAGTTCCGTACGTAACGTACAAATATTTTTAATATTCTATTTAGACAAGTCACACGCTGCGTTTCGTACTAAAGGAAAAGTATGAAAGGTAACCAAGGCGTGTGCAGTAACGCACACTACGAGACTACGAGTAGGTACAGTGACGTGCACAGTGCACAGTGCACACAGCTACTCGTACCAGCCAGGCTCGACACGCGGCAGTACACGGAGATGTGTGACGTGTATAGCGACAACATCTACTATTCATTGTAATCAAGATACAACCTCGCTACCCCTCGACAAGCTGTGGCGCTGGAGGACAACATTGTTTACAAGTGAGGTTCAACCCCGCTACCCCGCTACCCCACTACCACGCTAATAACGTTTTGGCGAGTCGTAGACATAAATAAAATATATAACAATAAACACATAATTGAAAAAAAAGGTTTGTTTATTCTCGCGTTTATTGTGATCGCTACATAGTGGCGGACGTTTCTAGTTCTCGTGGTCACCCACGACTAAGATGTTGTTTGTCGATACTTAACAACTCATTGGGAAGGGATGTACTATTATGTACTATCTTGTACTATTATGGGGGACCAAGGCACAAGACACCCTCGACAAATAGGACCAGATGAACAAAGTTATTTATGAGTTACAAAAGATAATATTATGTAATAAGTCCAATATGGCAGTTGACACAATATGTTTTTAAATATTGCTTTAGGTTATGGTGTAGATTTTTTTTAATTTATTGAGGCACAGAACAAATTACAATCATTACAGCACATATTACCTAAATCGTACAATTAGTACCTAGATCTAATCTGGATTGCAATTTAAATAGTATGTGCACTCAGCAAATCCATATTAATAGCTTTGGCTATTGAAAACACAATTGAAATTACAAATATTGATAACTATCCATTGTTAAATAGGATATTCTTCATACATTTGACAAATCCCCTGAGTCTAGGTTCAAAGATATCAAGGTTACCGTGACATTTAGCGAAATCATTATAACGCCTGACCATTCTTACCATAGGGTTATAGTATGATATATTATTTTTATATGTCCGTAACGCAAAGAGGTTTACATAATGCGAATTTCGGGCTCTGAAGTGGGTGTTGATAGCAATATTCGACAGCAGTTCCATGGAATCTATATGTGAGTGTAAAATTTTGTACAAAAATATTAAAAAAAATACCTACGGCGAGCTTCCAAAAATTGGACATGGAAAAGAGCAAGTCTGGATTCATAATTCATGTCAGAACGACCTGGCCGCATTTTATTTTTACTTGGAAAATCGAACTCATGACGTAGGCTCGTGAGGTGTTTCCAGCAACCGGTTCATACAAAGTCGCCACGGCGACGGCGTCGGCGGCGTGTATAAGATGTATCATGTTGTCCTCAGCTACCAAATAGCGTTTTTCATCGTGACGTACGCCGTGCCGATGGTGGGGATGTCGTTCTTCTACACCGCGATGGGCAGAGAGCTGTGGGGATCCAGGACCATCGGAGAGCTCACGCAACGACAGCTCGATTCTATTAAATCTAAGCGCAAGGTACTTCTCAAACTTAAACAACTAAACTCATCATCAACATTATCAAAATCATTATCATCTGTATAGTTATTATCACAGGTGACAATGGACAACCTGTCATCAGTAACAACAACTGCCGTGTTCCGCTAGCAGCTGCTCGCGACTCTAACGCCACACTGACATGTCACTGCCACGTGCCTTTTTCCACGTTCTTACACACCTATTTATTGATTGCTAAACGGGTGTACGATCTCATAGCCCAGCTCGCGTTAAGTGGTTACCGCAGTGCGTGGACAGCACAGACAGCACAGTGCGCATGTCGCCGCCCAGATCTGGCCCGCTCCTGGAGTGGCAGCGCGCGGGGTGACGCCGGTGCGGACTCACAACTCCTGTTAGACCAGTAATTACGCAAAGGAGAAACACCATTCTGGGCCTAAGCGTTACACGAATGGGATATGTACCAAAAAAATCGTCTATTTTGCTTGATTAACCTATTGAAATCTTAGCTTCATTGACAATGGCCAAGTGTAGAAAATAAGTAGAATTCTATTTTTTGTTTTAAACAATCTTTGTAAACCTCTGCAACACATTTCAATATACGTAACTAGCTCCACAAATGTGCGGATTAGAATTAGAGCATCCCTAAAATAGGATCGCTTTAGTGGAAATCGAGTGTTAAAAATAATTAATACTCCTTTGTTTAAAGATAAATGACTGTTTTTATGGGTATTTTAATCAATGTAAATAGAGAATGGCCATCGAATCGTGACACAACTACTTACAGTGGCGGCAATTCAAAATATCTACAACTGACAACATTACATATAGCATGCAAAGGTAGTTTTGCATTTTCATATTTTTTTAAGGGATTTTATGACCTGGTAACTAAGACCTTTAAGTCATGTCTTATTTCATTATATTTCTTAATTTTATGAAAAATGATAATATGGAGTGAAATGAAATGAAATGAAAATGAATAATTTGGGACATTAACCAACTGGTATGAAATTAAATAAAATGAGATGAGATGATATGAGATGATATAATCTCAGTAAAATGGTGGTCATTTACTGAGATTTTTTCAGTGGACTATTCGGAGAATCCCGAGAAGTTACGTCCAGTGGCTTTGTTTCATTTTCCCACATTTGTGCACTTTCACAGATATTAAACAGTTAATAAACCACCGTTATTACACATTTAAACCCGAAGAAACACTAAATTGACAAATAAAAAAAAACACAACTTTACTCCTCGCGTTCCCGCCAAAAAATCCGCATTTTTATATTAATGTGACTATGCCATAGAAAAACACAAATGTATCAAATCGTGTTATGTTATCTTTAATGTTGCCAACTGCAGATATCTTGGATTGCCGCTATTTAGTTGTGCCATGATTCGCTGGCCAGACTATAAACTTAATCTCATTTAATAACGTAACGTAAAGCACCAAAATCTATTAACAAAAATCATTAGGAGAAATAAATAACTGTGTGATTTAGTTATGACACGAAATCATGTCGGCAACTGCGGCAATTCAAAATATTTTCAACTGGCAATCTTAAATATAACATGAAAAACCCGATTTGGTACTTTTGAGTTTTTCTATGGTGTAGTTACATTAACAATTTTACTGGTGGTAGGACCTCTTGTGAGTCCGCGCGGGTAGGTACCACCACCCCGCCTATTTCTGCCGTGAAGCAGTAATGCGTTTCGGTTTGAAGGGTGGGGCAGCCGTTGTAACTATACTGAGACCTTAGAACTTGTATCTCAAGGTGGGTGGCACATTTACGTCGTAGATGTCTATGGGCTCCAGTAACCACTTAACACCAGGTGTGTGAGCTCGACCATCCTTAAAAGCAATAAAAAAAAACGGCATGAAATGAAATGAGATGAGATGATATGGGAGCACGTAATGATTTATATTTTATATAAAAAAGTTATCATATAAATATCGTTTTTCATATAAAAAAGTTTTCATTAAAATTAAAATAAGACTGATCTAAAGGTCTTAGTTACCAGGTCATAAAATCCGTTAAAAAAATCATTTCGCGCACAGCGCGTTTTGCGTTACGTTGTTTTTAATTTTTGGCTTTCGTTCGTTTTCGTAAACAACCTAATGCGCGATTTCTCGTAACAGATTCCATTTTTATTTTCAAGCAACCTGTTGCTGCAACAGGTTTCGTAAAAAATTACTCATCTTTAGTAGGAAACAGCCTCAAAAATATCGTTTTTTATTAAAATATCTCGAACAATGAACATAACCTAAAATGTAAACAGTCTGATTTGACCAATTTGACCTTTTTTTTTTTTTTTTTTTATTGCTTAGATTTGTGGACGAGCTCACAGCCCACCTGGTGTTAAGTGGTTACTGGAGCCCATAGACATCTACAACGTAAATGCGCCGCACACCTTGAGATACAGTTCTAAGTTCTCAGTATAGTCACAACGGCTGCCCCACCCTTCAAACCGAAACGCATTACTGCTTCACGGCAGAAATAGGCGGGGCGGTGGTACCCGTGCGGACTCACAAGAGGTCCTACCACCAGTAAAATTGTTAATGTAACTACACCATAGAAAAACTCAAAAGTACCAAATCGGGTTTTTCATGTTATATTTAATATATATAATTATATAATTTATAGAATTTTTTTGTATTTCACATATTTTTGTAGAGAATGAAAGTTATTGAGATGAGTCTTATTTTTTTTGTAAAGTGCAAATGTATTGAGATGAGTTTTATGAACGTGGTCTTGGCGCAATTTTTTACAGTGAAACTGTTTTTGTTCGGATTTGAATAACTCGAGTGATAGGGATTTAGACGGAGAAGATATTATAAGAAATTTAGAACCAGAAGGAACAGCTATTACTAATGAACTACTTCCAGCAAAATCCAGACAATTATACTAGAAGCGATACAGTCAATTCAAAAATACTGTTAAATCTATCGTTAATAAGTGCTAATATTTGTGCCAAATATAGTCTAATAATTATTTATAAATTGTTTAGAATTTATAATATTAATATATTCAACAGGACATTGTTTTTTCTATTCATAAACATTTGAATATGTTACTAGGTTAGACCTTCAAATAAAGTAATAGAAATGTTTGATAATGTATGTGGTGATAAATTATTTATAACATCAAAAATTTTATTTTGAAAGTGGGGGGCTCCGCCCCCATCCCCGCAGGGGCTTAGCCCCTGTACCCCTTTTTTATGTAAAAGAGTACATATCAGAACTTTTCATCCCGGTTGAAAAGGGTTGAGAGAGGGATACAGTGATAATATTATCAAAAGATAAGTTTGTCCTATTCTTAAATACATTATAGAAAAAAAAATACATTAAAATCTTACAAAGTAACGGTTTCCGATGGCGGACTGGAGATGTCACTCTGCGGAATAAAACGTCTTGTTGTGCTTGAGTGCGTTGCCTTTACCACCGGCACCAATGTGGCTGGCTGGAGGCATGATCTCATCGGTCATCTTCGTTAGTGAAACACTAGCGATATCAGAATAGCACAAGCCTCTATGTAATTGACAGGTAGTGAAGATGTTCATCCTGGTGATTGTGATATTCGGTATCTGCTGGTTCCCGTACCACGGATACTTCATCTACACGCATCTGGACTCCTCGATCCTGTACTCCCGCTACGTGCAGCACGTCTACCTCGGCTTCTACTGGCTCGCCATGTCTAACGCCATGGTCAACCCCATCATATACTACTGGATGAACGCCAAGTAACTTTCTTATGGCAACGTTTGAAATTTTTTGTGCCCTTTTCATCATAGTAGCATGGTTTGTCTCAAACACCGCATTCAGAACATTGATACTCGCTTATCGACAAGAGGTCGCCGTCCTTATTAAAACATAATAAGAAAACATCAACATTGCCGATCCATAGGAAGTATACGACACACACACTCGTGCGCACACATACTTGTGTAACTAATTTAGGACCAGGAAATTAGCAAACTTTGTAAATTATTAAGGGTCATTAAGGTAAAAAAACCCTTGATCTTTTTTATAAAAATTAAAAGATTATGAAGCCAGCTCCAAGTTTCAGAGACAAGAAACAATCTAATGATTTTCTTTAAGAACGAACTATTATAATATGCCTTCTATAGTGTGTTTGTAGACAGTTGCCCTTCTTTGTACGAGGTGTGAACTTCTATCGATTTCAGACTTTTCGTTCTTATTACTTATTTAATTTGTTGAAATGTTGGCGGATAAAAGCACTCCGTACTGTGTGGAGAGGCAGACAGTCTCCGGGAGCTGGCCGTCTACGTCCTGAAGAGGTATTAGGCTAGCTTTATACTCTAGAACGGTTTTATCCAGCGTTGATCACAACGATGCTCAAAAGAACAATTGAAAAAGCATCTGTTTAAAATTTAAATGAAGTTCTGAAATATTTCCACATGGCCGGTTGTCTGTTCGCGCAACATACCGCGCTTCGACAGTTCTGAGAGCGCTTCTACTCAGTTAATGCAGTATTGTGCTCCACTCGGCCGTGAGTTCAGTACCGACACGGCACGCGACACCGAACTATTTGGAATACTGAAGGTTTATTATATGTATTTCATGCTACATTTCATAGGTTTTGTTTTATTGCACTCGTGAACTAAAACAAAATTTCATCGTTGTAGTTATTGTTGATGACTATAGTTCTACTTTACTCTTGGTTTTAAAGATATATGACTTAGATAGAAGTACATAAAAAATTTGCTGTTGACCGGGAAGGTGGAAGGCAAAAGACCGAAGGGCAGGTCCCTCATGCGCTAGGCAGACCAGATCCGCACCGCACTGAGCACCGTGTGTGAGGCGGTCCACGCCAAAGACAGATCGTCGTAGCGTGATATAGTCCGCCGGAAGATTGTAAAATCCCACAGAGGTCACGACCCTCAGCATTGTGGATTTACGACGCAACGAGAAGGTGTATATTCTTAAAAAAATATTTCACTTTCGTGTAGTCAGGTAGTTTTATTAGACTTTTTAACCTACCCAGTTTTCATCTTATCTTCAATCTTATTGACGAGTTGTTGCGTAAAGTATGGACAAGAAGCGCGCCTTCCACACAAAGAACAAGCTCGTTTAATACCTCATGAATGATGATGAAGGATATAATAAAGTTTCATTGAAGTGGGCCTTTGCAGATGTTTCATAGCGTTTACCATAGCGATTTGATTTGATGAGATGCGTTCTTCCTCAGGTTCAGGAGCTACTTCCGCATGGCGATCATGTGCCGGTGGCTGGAGGTGATGTGGAGGCGCCGCCACCCCCTGGACTCACCCCCCGAGTGTCCGTCCCAGTCCAACACTAGATCCCGATCAGGTTTTTACTCGTTAACGTAATTATTACCTCTGGTTATATTATTTGTCCTTGCACTCGTCCCGTGTTTGTAGCCGCGCTGTTGCTTGTATTCAATGGATCATTTTACACTTATATTTTTTAAAGTATCATAGTCATTTGGAGGATAATACCAAGTTGGCCTCAAAATGCTGGGAGTCCTCAATAAAGCGTAGCAATACTCCACGTCGGGACAAAGACTTTTGTTTTACAAGGTCCGTCCTCGCGTGGCACGTAGTATTGCTCTGACCTCTATATGCTAGAACTTCCAAATACCAGCTATTTCATTTGACTCCATACAAAAGAGTTCGGATTGTCAGTAATCCCAGCCCCACGGATTTATAGAGGGACTTCGGTTCCCTCTGTATTTTGAACCGTAAAATCCATGGGGAGTGCTCTGAGGAGCTGTTTGAGATGATCCCATTATCTCGTTTTATCATCGCACCGCCCGCCATCGGAATAGAGCTCATCACTACTACCTTGAACAACCGCGTTCGTCCACTTTCAGAGATATTTTTTGCTACGTTCCATCCAGCCTTGGAATGAATTTTCTTCGTCGGTATGCCCTGAGTGCTATCAGATGTTTTTATTCGAACGAGGTTTGTGGAGAGTAATCGATGGTAGAGATGGGCTTGGCTATGCCCCTGGCATTGCAACATCCATAAACGACGGTCACTACTTGCCATCAGGTGGGTCGTGTGATCGTTTGCCCGCAAGGACAATAGAAATAAAAATAAACTGTTGTCGACTTCGGTTCCGATCAAAAAGGAACTCCGTAAACTCTCCAGAAGAACCACAAAACTCAACTTCCGAAAGTGTTCGACGCGGACCACTTGATCATGATAATATTAGCTATAATCCTCGACCGAAGGAAACTGATTCTACTATAACATGAACAATAGCGTTTTATAACTTAATAAAAATGTAAGGGCTCATAAATGTATGAAGCTTAATTGTAACATTTAAGTGTACGACGCCGCGACGTGTCGTTTTTGTGAATCTGTCTCACAAAAATACATACTAGTATAGTGCACACACTTAGACCTAGCGACGTATTTTGTCCGATGTAACAATTAAGGTTGCTATGTACGGCTCTAACAATGCTGAAACCCACATTAAATGTGGAATGGCGATCTACCAAAAAACTCTTTTCCTTTTATCGACTTTTATGTTTTTATTGGAGAGTAAGGATTCGGAGAGATAGGATACTAAAGGCGAAATCAAGGTAATGCTGGAATAAGCGCAGGAGGGAACGATTGCTGAAGGAACTTGGCCAAACTTCGGCCACCCGCCGGCGCATTCTCGAGGCCCTGGTGCCCGTGCTGGAGGCATGGTCGGGTCGGCGTCACGGCGTACTCTCCTTTCACCTTGCTCAGGTCCTCTCGGGACATGGTTGTTTCGGGAGGTACCTGTGGAAGGTCTGCAGGAGAGAGCCACATCCGGGTTGCCACCAGTGCGGGCATCCAGACGATGATGCACAGCACGCGCTCGAAGCGTGCCCGCGTTGGGAGTACTTGCGGCGAGATTTTGTTGCGGTGCTGGGGAGAAACCTTTCCTTGCGGGCTGTCGTCGCCCGCAGGTTAGAGGATCAGGGCTCGTGGGAGGCCATGGCCAGGTTTTGTGACCTGGTAGTGGCGTCCCGTGAGGCTGAGGAGCGTGAAAGGGAGTCGGATCCCTCTTCAGCACCTCAACGCAGAAGGCGGGGTGGGCGGCGCGGGCATGAAGCTCCCGCTCAGCCGCCGTAGGGACTGTCGGGTGGCGGGTGCGGGGGCGCCCGGTACTCGACTGTCAGTCCGGTGGTGGGGCGGTGCAAGGTGGCTCCTGTGCGCCACCCACGGTGTCTCCTGAGACGACGTCCTTCGGGATATTCCCGGAGATGAAATCCCGTCTTATCATCAGGACGGGTACCGGCGAAGGCGGACTGTCGGCGCGCACTGCGGTACCGTGGGTCTGGTGTAGCCGGTGTGGTGGAGCTCGATGGGGCTTAGTCGGTAGTTGGTTTTGCGGGGCGAGCGCCTCGCGCGCCTTTTTCAAGGCGTAGTCTCCTGCGAGGAATTCGGGAAGGTGGATGACCTTGGCCCTATTCGTCTCCCTCTTCCTCACGGGAGGCACCGGAGTCCGGCATAACCCGGTTCGTTACCCCCCTTTACCGGGTATCCGTAAATAGATTCCCTAGAGTTTAAAAAATTAAATAAAAAAAGGGCACAATGAGCACTCGACCGGGGATTCGTGAAAAGCTGACACTGAGCATGGAAGGGCCCCCCGTCCACCCTGTGTACGGTCGCCGGGATCCACTCCGGTCTTCGATTTCAGCGCGACGACCGCACGACAGAATTTTACACTGGTTGGCGGGACAGCTTCCCGGGGTTCAGGTCCCCTATTGAACAGCGGGCGGTGGTAGAGACCGTTTCACTGGGCCTTCCTATACTCCCATCAGTAAATAACATCCCGCGGACTCGCGAGCACGTTTGAGGACAGGAGAGGAAAGAAGTAGAACTGGGTCTCCAACCCACACGCTAGGCTACTTGACAACGGATTCTAGTTGGAGGGTGGTCGCCAGTCGGTCGGACAAGGTCCTACCACCAGTTGTGTTTTGGGCTCCCGTTTAGCATCACCCAGGAGTCACCTGTAGGGTATTGCGGGCTAAGCCTACCAACCCCCAGTCGTATCCAAAAATTCTTTTTTTTAGTGCCTTTCTATAATTTAAAAAAAGTATTCATTTTATGGTTTTTTCTTACATCATTATCAAAAGCCACACGTATGTACATATGTATGTACTACATGTCGTCTGTCTATCTGCTTGTTTTAAAAATCAATCTGCGAAACAGTTAAAACGATTTTGGGCGTACATTCATTAGATATAAGTAGTTGAGCAGTACAGAAGGGTCGTTTTCAATTCTGCGGCCAAAAAAGTAACGATTTAATGATTTTAAACTTTCTCTAATTTTCAATTTTGTTGTATGGGCATGCTTAGAATAAAAAGTGCCTCATCACAATCAAGCCAATCACTAATTTATTGATAATATTAACTAATATTCATTTATATTTTTCATTTTACGCATTTGATAACACCAACACGGATGACAATTTAAATAGGAACTTTTTTTAAAAGCTTAGAAATCGTACTTCTTTTGTTTTTAATAATGTTTTAATATCCAGTTACTTTCCCTTTAATATTGTATTATATACTGATTAAATAAAATTGCCGAATTTCAACATGCATTACTGGAAAAATTGCAAACAAGTTAGAATTTGAATTCCGAACCAGCGCGGCGATACGAATGAGATTTGGGGTAGGTTTTAATGTGTAACTCCTAATTGAACAGTGTTTACGAATATACAGTTATAGGAGCACGTGCCTGGTGTCATGACAACTAATTTACTGGAGTTATAATTACGGTAACATTAAGATTATGAGAATTAAATCAAATAACTAGCTTTAGGCCCCAAATTTGAAAACGACCCAGAAGTGATAAATGAAAATATTGAACAATCTGTAACGGAGACCCACTAGCACATTGTGGGTTGCAGGTGAGATGCGATATTATTAAATTTCTAACTAATTTTAAAGTATCGCACGTACAATTAAGTTATGAATGGATATATTTATATATTTTTTTTTATATTTATATATACTTTATGTTTTGAGGAAATTTCCCCTAGCGCGATGATACGTGAAATGATCTGATTATTTTATAACTCAATGAGCGCACCGAGTAAACAAAATGACAAATTCTCTTATGATCAAATGTGGATATTATAGAGCGATGAAATGGAAAATATACGAAGTTAATTACGAATGAAAGACAGTAAGCCTGTAAAATTAAAAACTTTTGAAAACTTAAAAAAAACTTGATTTTGTCAGAATGGCTATCCTGTATGAATTTATTGAATTTGTTTTTTTTTAATAGTACTAGCCACGGCTTACTGGTTAGAGGCTGGCAAGCGAGTGCAAGGTAATTGTCTTTTAAGGGAGAGCTCACCTCTCTCCGCACCGATCTGTCGTCGCCGAATTGGGGCCCCTGTAGGAGGCGTCCTCTCCCCGGAATTAGTCATGGGGTGACCTGAGGGGGCGAGGACGTGCTACAGGACAGTACTTCTATGGAACTGCTGTGGCCTGAGGCGGCTTGAAGGGATTCCGTACAGAAACGAACGACGTAGACGTGGACCATGGCAGGCGGCGCTAGTCAGGTTCATCTTACCTAAGTGCTGCCCAGTGCCGTCCATTGTCGTTCCGGGGCCGTCCATTGCTTCATTTCATGGACGGTGAAGTTGTTGTTAATGCAGTAGTTTCTTAATGCATTATAGACTATTCCCATCTGAATTCGTATACACTGTTCAGGTCCTATAATAGATATATCCGTCTGATGCGACGCAACAAGCGGTGCGCTCACGCTCCACGCCGCGGCCGCGATCCCTCTTACGAGTACTATCGGTAAACAAATTAAAAACGGAGATTTGTTAAAACTATTCTAACTAACTACTACTTATTCTTACGCCATCTTACCGATGATTGTGTCACAATAACAGTCGTTATTGAATTATAATAATAAATAAATACATGTGCTTGTTTGCACGTGCAGCTACCGAGGAATGCAGAGGATCAAAAGGAAATACAGCAGCCGGATGGGCGCACCACACGCGTCGGATCCGCAGCGACCCGCCCTCGCCGAGACTGTATTCGCATGCTAGCTGCAGGAAGTGTCCCGGCACCAACACCTACGACCGTAAGTGTCCCACACATATGTGCAGTTCTGCACGGTGCGACAAGTCAGCCAGCCGATATTTAGTTACTCTGTTACTACGCAAATAAAATCATTTAATAAGAGAGTAAGTTACATTTTCACGCCTGAACTATTGAAGTAATTTTCACGAAATTCTGAATGGAAATAAATTTGCGATAGAATCTTTAATTCCACTCCCGTGCACTGGTCTCTGCCCACGCCGTATGTACGGTAGTAGCATGGGGGCTTAAAGAAAAATATCTCTTAATATATCAAGAAGTAATACTTTATTTGGCGAAGCGACTTTCAGGATACACTGTTGTTACGAAAAATGCTTGCTATGTAACGGCAAACGAACTCAAGGAGCACCTGGTATTAAGGGACTATCGAAACATTATCGAACAGATAAATGGCACCGTCTTGAGGCGTGAGGTCGATTGTTCGACTGTATTGCACAAGGGCCGCTCTACCCTTCAAGACGGAACGTCCCACTGTTTCGCGGCAGAAATAGGCAACATTGGAGTAGACTCACGCGGGAACAGACGGGATGGTGCTATTTTAGTCTGACACCACCTAGCCAGCTCGGAACTTACACTCTTTACTACACACTCTAGAGTGTACGGTGAGGTCAGGTACTAGAGAGTTAGGTAGGTACGTAGAAAGACCAAGTTACGGTACTGCTTGTACTGTTATATGTTTGGAAGTAGTAACAATATGACAAGGAAACCAGTGTCACGTACCGATAATTGTTGGTTGCCAGCCGGACATAGTACTATTTCCATCCGAAATACAAAAGTTCTTGCTAGGGATAGTGTTAGCAAAGTCCTCAGACTGAGGTGAGCTTGCCTACACGTCTGATAAAGGATCAGTAGATAATAAAAATATCAACTGATTTTAAAACGTTTTGTTTTTTAAAGCTTATCAGTGTAAATTCACCCTTGACCGAGCCCGAGCGGGCCTCCTGTCATCGACGGAACTTCCTTACGAGGGTTGTTGTTCGCTTGAATTAGGCAGCGTCATAATATATGCTCAGAGCAAAGGTAGGGCGCAGCCTGACTGAATTGAAATATAAAACATGTTACAGCATAACTACTATAAGTGTGACTGTGGCGAGGCGTTGCATCAGAATTGTTAATGATCGCTTTATTGGTCTTTCAAAAATTTGGGCGAGTTCTGGTTCTGTTGGGGACTAAGTTTGCGTGGCTCGTGATATCGCAAACGTCCTGGTGGGGCTGGCGACGACCGCGACCAGCTGATGCACGACAGGCCACTCTCTGTTCACCTCTACATCGTATAGATTGAGGTGCGGTAAGACCGCTCCAGTTAAATTCCGACTTATGAATAAAACATACTATAACTCGTCTCTAAAAATCTCATCTTCATTACAGAAATAAATTATTTTCCACTATTTCGAGTCGCGGATAGTAAAAGGACTCCTTCCCGCGTCGTCATGACAACCTGAACCAATCTCCTTAAATCCCACGTTGAATATAATCTATTTACAGAATAACGAATACGAGTATCTATTCATTCTATTTTCTTTTCAATAAGAACAAATATTTAGTGTGCAGTCGTAGAAACAAAAGAGACTTAGATTCGTAATTAGATGTACCAACTGTATTTCTACAGTTTTTGTAGTGAAAATAATGTTAACAGAATCACAATAATAGTATAAATATCGAAGTCATGTACTTGATTTATGTCATAATTCTGCTAACAATGTCGTATATTATGTTTGTAGCAAACAACACACATAAAGGGACAAATGAAATATGATACAATACCACAAAGTATGTACTCCTGAATGTAGACCTATACAAGTATGTAGGTATCCTGTTTTTATTTAGGAGTTGTTATCGAGCTCTATTGTTATCAACAGATAGTTTTAAATGATCAGTTGTGGGGTTGTGGGCCGGCCCGTTAAAGGCGTACAATCAGGTCAGCTAGTCCGCCCTAACGTGAGCCAAGTTCGCAAGTGCCAGCCCATAGTTTAGCTTATTTTAGCTTATATATATTAGTTTAGCTTATTAGTCTAGAAAAAAATGCCGGAAGAACCTACTAGTATATTGGTTAAATTTCACAGATATTCATTTTCTAATGAAATACGCTAATTCATGTTCCACGATTAAGGGTTACTATCATGTCATGACAAACAAATCCGTAAAAAAATATCGTAATTATTAAATACAAATGAACATATAAAGCTCAAGCGATGCTGTGCTGAGCTTGCGATGGCTGTGGACTTCGATGACTACTTCTCACCAAGTGGGCCGTGAGCAGGTTCAACCGTTTTATCTATAGAAAGTAAAACCGCTTCAACCACAGCCAAACCTCATCGGCCAGGAAACATAAGTGCATCTGACGTAAGCTTCGCGTCGCGTCGCGTCGCGTCGCGTCGCACACCGTGTATATACCTAGCGTTGCTTCGCTTGTTGCAGCCTTCATCCACGGGAGGAGAGTGTGAACGGGCCGGGGGAAGCCGCGCGCAGACCGAAGGACTGAAAATGAAAATCTCTGTCCACGCAATTTATTCTTTATTTTAGGGAAAGTATAGAAACCATTAGGGCTTAGGTCGAGGCTGTACGGCGGATGGTCTAATGATTCTATGTTTTCTTGCTCTAAAAACTCTTTTGTTCTGTGCGCGGTGTGAGAACTCGCATTGTCGTGATGGAGGATGATGCGGCGGTTGCAGTTCTCTTTACGGAGTTCAGAAACGACCTATGGCAAACAAATGCTAGCATACCATTCTGCATTAACCGTTCTTTGTCCCTCAAGAGGAATAGTCGTGACATGGCCGGTTTTGGAGACAAACGTGGCCACCATTTTTTTTGCAACACTCCGTGAACGAACAATTTTTGTTGGCTTTAACTCATTTTCGTACACCCAAACTTGTGACTGATTTTTTGTTTCGGGTTCGTACGCGTATATCCAGGATTCAACACAACTTTTTTATACCTAATTGTTCATGCAAGATTATTTGTATTTGACTCATGCCAATGTCTAAAGTTGCCTGAATTTCGCGGTATGTCACATGTCGATCTTCCTCAATCAGCTTACGCACAGCATCAACGTTTTCTTGGGTGACTGCAGTTTTTGGACGACCTTGACGGGGATCATCACTGAGCTTGACACGTTCACGTTGAGACTCAGCAAACCAGCGATAAATTGTGGTTTTGGATAGGGGCTTCATCACCAAATGCAGAAATCATCCGGTCAACACACTTTTTTTGTGTTAAACCACTTCGAAAGTCATAATAAATCATCGCTCTTGAATTTTCTCGAGTCAATTCCATTTTCTCAACGACTAAACAAGTTTGACAAAACCTCGTGACAAGACCGAGAATCTTTTTTTAAATAAATAAATAGTATTCGATTTTTAAAACCAAGGAGTTTTCAATTGAAAAGATTTTAATATGACAGGAACAGTGGAAATATTCCATTCCCGATACTTTTAGTGCAGCCTAGTACTGCTATTGACGTAATATTATTATATTATTTTGGCTAGGCCGGTCATATACTCTTCAGAAGTGTCTTGTTACAATTTTTTGATTAAGCTGTTTCAAGTACGCATTTATTGCATACTAGCGACCCGCCTTCGCTTCGCTTCGGAAACATTAAATTTTATTATTATTAATGAGTCCCGCGATGTTACCCGCGGTTATTGTCGTACACGGGTGACGCCGCGGGGCGAAGCTAGTCTTAAAAAAAGTAGCCTAAGTTACTCCTTATATCATCAGCTACCTATCAGTGAAAGTCTCGTCAAAATCGGTCCAGCCGTTCCAGAGATTAACCGGAACAAACAGACAGACAGACAGACAGACAGACAGACAGACTGACAGACAGACTGACAGACAAAAATTGTAAAAAATGTTATTTTGGTGTATGTACCGTATATGTAATCATATGCATGGAGTAAAAAACTGTTATTTCAATATTACAAACAGATACTCCAATTTTATTTATATGTATAGATGTATGTAGTAAAAAGTAGTTATTTCAATATTACAAACAGACACTCCAATTTTATTTATATGTATAGATAAATGGTAGGTTCATATAAATCTTGTCGAAAATTTGCAAATACATAAATTGTAAGTTGATGATGTTATTAGCATGGGGGCTGACCTGATCACAACCTTCATGTACTTTCAGTAGACCGGCTCCTCGTAATGCGAGAGCGCGGCCGGGGCGGGGCGGGGCGGGGCGGGGCGGGGCGGGGCGGGGCGGGGCGGGGCGGGGGCTGATCTCGGCTACCAAGTCGACACCTCATCATGTCACCTAACGAGCAAGGGCTCCTACGGATATACGACTAGTAATATCATTTCATATCGACGATATTTATTTATTTAAAATAAATGTTAATATTAAATTGTAAATATTAAATCAATTTCAAATAAATTTATATTGATTAATTGTTGTAAATATAATACTAGTATCATTGAATTTTGTGGTTAAAATATTACGTGATGTATTTCATATAACAAATATTACCATATTAGGTACGATTAAATTGATTTATTTTTTTATGTATAGTGTAAGAATGTTAAAATGATAATAAAATAGTTCCGTAAGCGGCTTCAAGAAGTTTTCCTGTCACTCTCGAGCCGATCGTACTTTGGACCTGGAACACGCACCACGCACCAGTAACAAAACTAATCTAATGCTGTCTACTTAATGTTAATGAAACTTTATCGAAAAGTCATTTATTTTTTTATGAAATTAAAATGGCAAAATTTAATTGACTACGTAAAACCGAATAACTATTATTATTTCCAATCAAAACACCCCAACTCAATTTTTTGTCATCGAAAGCAGGTTTCAATATTTGGTTAATTATCTCTTATCTCCAATTTGATATTAATATAAATCAACTGTGTATCAAAAGCGCCATTAAGTCAGTTTTAATTTATCCGTAGGATGTTGCTTGATATTTTTCAGTACATACATTTTTCATAGATTAAATTAAAATGTGATTTTATTTACTTGTTCACGATGTTCAAAGCTGGAGTGATCTGAGTCTAATGTTCATAAACTGACCTTAGACTTATTGAGGAAGTTTTCTGTAATATTATTAACGTCAGTAACTTTTGTTTCTGCTGTGAAGAAATTATATTGAGAGCGCATGTACATATTTACGAATGAAACAGTGTACTTAGTGTTGGTTATATGTATATTACTGTTACAATTATTAATATTAAATAATTTTATGGTTGAATATCTCGTTTTATTCAAGATATAATTTTTACTGTGTACTAACCCATAGACACAGCCCACTGAGTTTCTCGCCGGATCCTCTCAGTGGGTCGCGATTCCGATCCGGTGGTAGATTCTGAGAAGTACTGCTCTTGCTAGAGCTAGTGTTAGCAAATTCTCCGGAGCCCATAGACATCTACAACGTAAATGCCGCCACCCACCTTGAAATAAGAGTTCTAAGGTCTCAGTATAGTCACAACGGCTGCCCCACTCTTCAAACCGAAACGCATTACTGCTTCACGGCAGAAATAGGCAGGGTGGTGTCTACTCGTGCGGACTCACAAGATGTCCTACCACTACTAATTACGAAAATTATACTTTTGCGGGTTTGATTTTTATTACACGATGTTATTCCTTCACCGTGGAAGTCAATCGTGAATATTTGTTAAGTACGTATTTCATTAGAAAAATTGGTACCCGCCTGCGGGATTCGAACACCGGTGCATCGCTACACACGAGTGCACCTTACGTCTATAGGCCACGACGACTTTGCCGCTCGGTGTTTTTCTTTTGTCGTCAAAATCATTTGTCAAACTCGTATTTACTTAGAAAAATTGATATCTACCCGAGGGGTTGGAGGTATGCACAGTCGCATAGCTTCTTAATAGCAGCAGACCCGAGCCCCTGGAGGCTCCTCACCTCACGGCTGCTGTCGTTGAACTACATATCACATTGTTATGTAAATTTCGCTTGTACAATCAGCGTAGCTTCACGCGTGCTTCCTTCCTAATGTTAATCATTTACATGATATTATGTTACACAATGTTCTTGATTAACTCGGCTCGGCAGCTATCGTAGTGTTGTCTAAGAGTGAGATTAGTGAATTAATGAATCCTTTGTAGTTAAGGTTTCGATAAGTGAAATAATATCTTTTAATGATGGAAGCCAAAAGAGGACTACAATATGGCCGAGGCCTGAAAAATCCAATGTAAAAAGTAAATGTTTCGTTTTTTCTTATTGCCTTTGTAAAAATTGAACAGAATTTAACATTTTTTCGAAAAATTAAGATCTTTGGCTGCGTCTGTGTCTGTCTTTTCGTTTTTATTTTATTCGAAGAAACTTAAGTGTATAAGATTGATCCCTTAGACTTTGTGAATCGTTTATTATAAAATAAAATAATTTAAAAAAAAAAGAAAAAAACCTAGGAGCATACATGGCAACAGTAGAGTTGTTAATTGTCTCAGGTGACCATCCGGCTCTACGACTCACCTCATGGGAAGCGATTACAGTCACCCACGGACGTCAGCAACGCCAAGAGCACACAGAAGTCACTGCCTCTCGCAGAGTACTCTCCGCAAACCTCGTTTGAAGAAAGAGATCGGGAAACTAGGATATGCTGCAAAGCGCCTAGCGAACTCCGCGGTGACTCTGACGGCACCACCGGGTCTAGCAACACCCTGCGACAGTCCCCCACTCACACTGTCGATTATTATGTTTTGTTGCTACATATGTTCCATATGGTAATGTATGTATGTATGTATTGATAACGCATTTCTCCTGTTACTTGGTTGATAATCGTGTTTGCTTGTATTCGTTCACTGAAGTCTCACTAGTCAGTGAGTAGTAGATGTCCACACTCGAATCAGCAGTTGCGGGAGTATCATATAATAATAATACACGGAAGCTCATCGCAACACCTTTCATCTTCTAAAGTAAAGTCTGCAAACCGCCGCCGAGCCGCGTCCGCCCCCAGCGCAGCGCCGCCCCCGCTGACCACGTGTGCCGAGCTGAGCTGCACACCCCTCAAGTCAACTAGACCAGTCCTCATTGACACCGACAGCTCTGTGATCATCTCCAGTAGTGCAATGACGCAACCGTCGACGCATTATCTTAAGTCGTTTGTCGAACTTTTATTTAGCTTCAAAACGCATTTGATAAAGCAAATGTTCTATGAATATGGAAGGGTTTTAAAATGGAAACATTATTTGTTTAACATAACATTTATTACAAAGTGTTTTCAACTGTTCAAGTTAATTACTACGCCGTATAGATAAATAACTAAGTTCTCTGCGTGGAATAGAACCCCGACCCATCCGGAGCGGGCTCGGTGCGCCGCTTAGTTACTGCTACCGATGCGGCGACGCGCTGGCGACTGGACCGGTGTGGGCATCACAACCCTCATGCTATGCACGTGGGCCGCAGTCGCAACAGTACCCACTGCATACAGTGACAATGCGAGCTGTCAGGGTGTCGACACTTAGTCTTGTCGGCGCGTGCAGCGGCGGGCTGCTGTATTCGTTAATTGTTTGCAATTTTTGTTGTAGCTTGAGTTTAGTGTTAGTACAGAGATGTACCTGTCTTGTATCTGTATATACATGTATATCTTTAAACCATTAAATCGTAGACGCTTTTTAAATGACGACTAACAAAATACACTATTCATTTATTTAAAAATTTATTATCAATTCTTTGTTTTCATTTACTTAAATAATTTTAATCTCACAAGGCTTTACTAATAAGCACGTTTTAAGTACATACAACGCACATACACTTATGAAGTACATACAAGCTGTGACACCGTGCCGGTGGTGGCGGGTGGTGGCGGGTGGTGGCAGGTGGTGCACAAGACAGAGCGCGCCACCACCACCACCACGCGCGCCACTGACGATGACAGTTCGCGAGCTTTTTTTTTCTTATTGCTAGGATGGGTGGATGAACTCACAGCCCACCTGGTGTTAAGTGGTTACTGGAGCCCATAGACATCCAGAACGTAAATGCGCCACCCACCTTGAAATATAACTTTTAAGATCTCGAGTATAGTTACAACGGCTGCCCCGCCCTTCAAACAGAAACGCATTACTGCTTCACAGCTGTTCTTGATTTTGAATTTCAGACTGTATTTCCTTTGTGATTTGTTTTCTTAGGTGGTTTGTGAAGTCTGCCGTTAAATTATAAAATACTGTTGATTTCTATTTGGTTTAATATGAAGTGATTGTACAATATATTGCGCGTCTTGTAGCTGTTGAGTCCCGTTCAGAAGTGAAGGTGGTTGCTTGTGTTCGCGCTGCGGAGCTCGCCGGTCCGCCGGTTTGCCGCCCCCTCCCGCGCCGCGCTGCCTCCGTCTTTCCCGACTTCGCGAAAGAGGAGTTGATGCGTCAACATATGGCCCCCGCCTTGGAAGCTCCAGCTTCCAATGAAGTAAATACAGGATGCTGATTACGATGTGTGTGTTGTGAGACTCTCGTTGTAGTCCTCTGCATTATGNTAAAGGAACTTGAAATTATAAACTCTGAATAAGAATTTATCGTACTACAATTATAATATTTGATTGGCATCTTGCAACCTTATTGCGGATCTGTGCATAGAATAAAAAAATAAAAATCGGGATGGAAAAATAGGGGTTGATCCTATAAGAGTGAAAATTGAGAGTAATATTTATTTTTTATTTTAAGTCATGACAAAATAAAAAATAAAGTCTTGCCAAAAAATTTAAAATTTATAATTAACAAATAAAAAATAGGGGTTGATCGTAGAGGGGTGAAAATTTAGGGTTGTATGTATTTTTGTATGTTGTATCATAAAAAAATAGAAATTAAAAATTTTGTCTAAAAAATAAAAAAAATTATTTAGGGGTGGACTACCCCTAACATTTAGGGGGATGAAAAATAGATGTTAGCCGATTCTCATAGATACCGGATAAGCACAAAAAATTTCATCAAAATCGGTCAAGCCGTTTCGGAGGAGTATGGCAACGAAAACTGTGACACGAGAATTTTATATATTAGATGTATCATGATATTGTTGACGTACTATGTCAGGCGGCTAGCGACAGTCATTCTCGTAGCAGATTTAATTGTAAAAAGCCTGTTATTGGCTGAAATAGGTATGTTAGTGATGCTCACGGGGAGGCGAGGTGTAAGTTTAATCTATGGTTGTGGCATGTAAACCGAGGTCGTGTCGTGTTTGGAAGAAAATGCAAGAGAGTAGGAAATTTTTTAAATCACGCCGGAAATGGTGCGAGCAGTTAAGAATGGACATACTCGCGTCCCATCACTCCAAACACGACTTTCACAGCTTTTGGAAGTCTACCACTAAACTTTTGTGTACAAATTCAGCACCTTGTCTTGCTTAGTCGTGCACACATGGCTTATTTTGATTTTGTTTCTTTTTACTTGTGTTTTTTATGTATCTTTTTAGCTTGTGATGTGTATTGTATGCATAAGAAATAAATAAATAAATAAATAAACTTAATAGTAAACCGGGCCTGCCCGTTAGCGTCGGTGGCATAAATGATCAGGGTGCCATCACTTATAATGTTTAGGGATCACTTTGCTGTTAGGTCGCCATTGAGACCACCACAGTCTGGGTGTGTAGGTGATTCTCAGGGGCGGATAGTTAATGGTAGGTTTACGGCTAACGAAGTTAGAAAAGTTGTTAACTCCATGCCAAGGGGTAAGTCTCCGGGTCATGACGAGCTGAGCATAGAACACCTAAAGTATGCCGGTGTACACTTGCCTCGAGTCTTGGTTATGTTCTACAATTTATGTATGGGACACTTCTACTTGCCTGAGGAGATGTTGAAGACTGTGGTGGTGCCCATTGTGAAGAATAGGACCGGGGATATATGTAATAAAACCAATTACAGACCCATCTCGCTGGCAACTATCATAGCAAAAGTGCTTGACAGTTTGCTTAACACACAACTTGATAAATATCTTCAGATACATGTTAACCAGTTTGGTTTTAAATCAGGAATGTCTACAGAAACAACCGTATTGTGTTTGAAGCAAACTGTCAAGTACTATACTGATCGAAAATCTGATACTGATACTGATCTTTGCCTGTTTCCTCGATTTATCAAAGGCATTCGACCTGGTTTGTTATGACATCTTATGGCAAAAACTTAGTAATACTAAAATGCCGAATGAACTAGTACAGATATTCAAATATTGGTACGCCAACCAGTTGGACATGGTACGATGGTCGGGTGTCTATTCGAGGCCATACAGGATGGAGTGCGGGGTGAGGCAAGGGGGGTTGACCTCGCCCAAGCTGTTCAAACTATATGTGAGTACTCATGTCGGCTGCCATATTGATGAAATATATCTCAACAGTATCAGTTATGCTGATGACATAATGCTGCTGAGTGCGTCGGCCTGTGGGCTGTCTAAGCTGCTTGGCATATGTGAAAGGTATGCTCTAAGTCATGGTCTGGTGTATAATGCAAATAAGAGTGAGTGTATGGTGTTTCGGGCCAAGAGTAGGTGTCTGGATAACATTCCAGCCGTCAAACTGAATGGTACGCCACTACGCAGAGTAGACAAGTTTAAATACCTAGGATACTTTATAGCCTCTGACCTGAGGGACGGTGCAGACATTGAGTGGGAGCAGAGAGCGCTGTCTCTAAGAGCTAATATTAATATGATTGCCCGCAGGTTCGCTCGATGTTCACGGGATGTCAAAATTACTCTATTAAGAGCGTTTTATACGTACGTCCTTCTATATGAGCAGCCTGTGGGTGCTCTATAGTCAAAAGCAGTACAGCGCCTTACGCGTCCAATACAACAATGCGTTCAGGGTGTTGTTGGGGCTGCCTCGGTTCTGCAGCGCGTCCGGAATATTCGCCGAGGCACGAGTCGATTGTTTCTTTACGACCATGCGGAAAAGGTGCACATCCCTGATTCGTCGGGTCCAGGTCAGCCCTAACAGCATCCTGAAGACCGTTATGAATGTTGGTACTTGAACCATTGTACCATGGTTCACTTGCGGACTAAATAAAAATAATAATAATAATGCTTGGTTCGAAGTAAGTATCAGTTGTATGGAATATTTTAAATATATATATATATATGATAATGTGATAATTATTTTTAATAAATGTATTTAGCATTTGTTTTGTTTTGGTAATTTTAAATATGTTTCAACGATACTATGTATACATATGGACTTGTTGTTGTCTGAAATAAAATAAATCATTCATATAAATATCGTAACTACAAAATTGTTTATTTCAGTCGAATAGAGCGTCTCGAGTCGTGTGTTTATCAGCTGTAGGTACGATGACTGAAAATTTACCGACGTTTATAAATTTAACTGAATTCGCCACAAGTAACGTAAGTATTTAAATATACAAAAACAATATCTGTGTGACGTGGTTTTCAGGCGCTTTGATTATTTCTGAAAACTATGTACAATGGGTAGGCATAGTATATAGTCTAGGAGAGTTCCAATCTTCTAGACTTTTTAGCTGTATATGGAAGGACGAGCACATAGACTACTTGGTGTTAGGCGCTTGACGGAGACATCCAAACCTTTATATATGATCGAAGTATCACTTGTATTGTGTAACGCTTCAAATCGAAACACGTGTCTGCTTCATACATGGACTCTTGCTTAGGCTTAGAATATTCAAACCATTTGTGACTCCAACACAAACAATACGCTTATAGACTGGTGGACAAATACTGTTCGCTACAGATGATTTCTTCGCCGTTGCCGAGAATTTAATCTCCGACGCGGATCCGATATACATAGCTGATAAATACACGGAGTACGGTAAATGGATGGACGGGTGGGAGACCAGACGGAAGAGGATCCCGGGACACGACTGGTGCATCATCAAGCTTGCTGTGGCTTGTGTTATCAAAGGTATGTTTCAGTCCAAATTAACTTATGGAATTAATTTCCATTTCATACAGGATGAAGTATTCTTTATCATCATCAATAGTAGTGTGTTGTCCATTGCTATTAGGGCCTATAGAACAAGCTAATATGGAATCCAGATACGTCCAGAGTTAGAACGCTGGCGATTACCTTGGACAGATATAAGGTTGAATTCTGAAGTGTATTAGAATCATTGTTCTACCTTTCAAACAAATCTTTTCACGATTGCGTGAGTGGTCAATAGCTGGTAAAATCCAGGGTCACGTCTCGATGTAATTTATCATCTGCTGGAGCCTTACAAATATATCGTGCTTAAATGGAGTATGAAAAGAATAGTTCAGTTTTACCGCCTTCTCCATAGCATACTGAATACGGAAACAAATTTAAAATATTATTGGATAAACTACTGGCCGGTACAGATATGATATTGTGATCCTATGGTGGGTATTTTTGTTGGCAGACGAGCATACGGCCCACCTGATGGTGAGTGGTTACTATCGCTTATGCACGTCTCCAATGCCAGGAGTAGAGTCAAGCTGCTGCCTACTGTTAAGTACTCTCCATAAGGCTCGTTTGATGAAGGACATGTCATAGAGCTCGGGAAAGGTCGTGGAGGGGAGCTCATTCCATAGCCGGATGGTACGTAGCAAAAAAGATCTTTAAAAAAGTACTGTGGATGAACGCAGTGGATGAAATCTACTCCGGTGGCGGGCGGTGCGATGGTAAAAACGAGATCATGGAATCATTTCAAACAGTTCCACCGAGCACTCTCCATAGAAAATTCGGTACAAAATACAGAGGAATTGGCAGGATTGTGTGTTAGTTTAACCAAATGGTCTCTCATACGACAACTTTATGTACGTCGTTCGAGAAAATTTTCCTGCATATATATTTAATAACAACTAGTGGCCCCGCAGTAGTCGAGATTCGACTATAATTAAGTGAAATTATAAGTTTAAACATTATTATGGTTTTATTGTCAATCACTATTATATTTCGACAATATAATCACAGTATTCGCCAAAACTGCACTATAGATCCATAATATTAAAGATAAACAATATTAATCTATTTTCAATTCGACCAGACTTTAAACTATAGCAAAAGTTTCTCAATTGACAGTAAACAAAGAGTATATTTTTATGTATGTGTTGTGTCAAATACATGGTAGTGTGTGTGATGTTTTCTTTATTGATTTAAAGTAAATTTTATGCATTATTTAAAAAAAAATTAGCATGTGCACTCCTTCTCTATATTCTCTATAAGTGTGGGAAATTTCGTACTCCTCCGCCCGCGCAATTTTCGTAAAAAAGGGTACAAAGTTTTTGCTTCACGTATTAATATATAGATACTTAAGCCATCCTAATTAAATATACATACATATTACTATGGAAAATTTAACAATGAATGTTTTTGTGTACTGTAAAAACAATAACTAGCATTTTTTATTTAACAGGCTTATTGTTAGACACGGCTCACTTCACAGGCAACAATGTACTGAAGTTTTCCATTCAAGCGACTATATTGTCTTCTGAAGGTGAATTATGTAAATAAATTACCATTTTAAAACAAAAGCGATAAGGTTGTTTTTAGGACGTCGACCTTAAAATTAAACTAAGGCTATGAATAAAAATATATAAACAACAGATCGGTAGTAAATATTCAATGTAATATTTTTTTAAATGACTGTTACAAATTTTGCAACGAGAGTCAGCCACAAAAATTGTTTCAACTTTTCAAACAAAAATATATAATATGTAGCTAATATATATGTAGATTTTATTTTCAATCATTTTTGTGATATTTTTTTCCAAGTAATTAATGAGAAACTGTGATCTTGAAATCGAGACAGCAACGATTACGATTTGGTTTTGAAAATTGTGAAACAGAAAAGGTATGGTGGTTTGGTTGTCTTGAACGCCATTGACCTAGAATATGTTATTGTGCATATACGTCAAGTTATTGACCCTATTGAGTTAATCGATTTTAACAAAAGAAAAACTTAACTTTCAGAAGAATTGCAAATCCCACCCAGAAACACGACAGTAGGATCTGGTGCTAGTGCAGAAGATTTAGATAGAGTCGAAGAGATTTTTTCTGAAAAATGGAAAGAGATTGTACCTGTCACTTCTCTTAGACCGGGGCTCGAAGTAACCCGGTATAATTACGTAAAGGTAATTAATTACCTGAATTATAATTCTTATATCTTGAGATTATTTACTCTTGAATAAGCATCTATTTATCAGATAAGACCTCTTCCAAGAAACTAAAAGCATTCCAGAAATTATTTGAAGTTGAAAGCACATCGTGAATTCAAATTACCGAAGTACACTTTTTTCTCAGGTTTTTAGTGATAAGCCGTGGACACATATCCGCTTAAACATTTATCCTGATGGTGGAATCGCCAGATTGAGAGTGTACGGTGAAGCGAGTCCAGAAAAACCACCCGCACATAAACTAACTGACTTGGTGTCAATGTTGAACGGTGGAGTTAATCAAGGTAATCGACTAATAAACTTAAACAAGTAAATTCAAGGACAATTGGGAGGGATGCTATGTGCTCATAAATTTAATGAATTTCAATAGTGATAGTGATCTGCTTCACGTTGGGTGGGTAGAGGGCTCGTACCTATTTCTGCTAAAAATGTATCATCTAACTTTAAATTACATACCACAGGCTATTCCAATGCACACTATAGCCACCCTAGAAATATTTTGAAGCCATTCAAAGGTGTCTCAATGTCTGATGGATGGGAGACAGCCAGGAATCAAAACAGACCAGCAATTATTGAACTGAACGAAGACGGGACGTTAAATTTTAATGGTAAATTAATTGGTAATTTTCTTTATTTTAAGTGCTAGCTTTAATTATGAACGAAATGGTCTGCTTCTGAAACGTTGCTCCCATATAGTTATTGTATTTATGGGTGAGTTAGTTGCTGGTTCAATATAATTGTAATATTTTTATTGAATATTTTTCTTCTTCTTTTTTTTATTGCCCTTGTAGGGAGACGACCATACGGCCCAACTGATGGTGAGTGGTTATCGTGGCTCATGGACGTCAGCAATGCCAGCAGTGTCACAAGCCTCGTTTGAAGAAAGATATTATGTCATAGCGCCCTGGAAACACCGTAGAGGGGAGTTTATTCCAAAATTTCTAATTCTTCCTAGCGTTTTCAGTCTAGTACCAGGGTTCGCTTTCCTACTTAAAATCCTCCGCTTTGCTACTGCTCTACTCTGATTGAATCTCAAGTGTATATTCTTATTTTTATCTTATCTAAATTCTTATATTTTTTATTTAATTATTACAAATATTTTATTTTAATGAAACCAAGAAATGTAACGATGCATGAGCGTGAAGGATTTTAGATGTACGTTTTCAGAAGGGATAGAAATATTTCTTTACGTTTTAACTTTTAGTCAGTGAATGGGCAATATTCAAGCTTGGTTTTCCTGGATCATTAAGACGGATTTGCGTAGACACATCGCATTTCAAGGGAAACTATCCAGGTGATGTGAAAATCGAAGGAGCATATTTGGAAAAAGAAAATTGGTTTCCAGGAGACAAAGTGGGTTGGACTTCCGTTTTAAAACAGAATCCGGTAAGATATTTGTCTTCTAAATGACAAATGAGTATATAACCAACAGGTGCAGCCTATCTATCCCCTATGATTATGGTGTTGTTTTCAAGCATTCTGGGCATAGAAATAAAGACATTCAACTTCATTCAACGGTTATGTTATTAAATGTCATTGGAACAAAATTAACTTACGTTCTACGCTGAACCAACGTACGCAAATAGCTGCTCACCTTTTGATGCCTCGCTTGAAAGAAGCATCACTGTGCTTATAAAATAGCAAAAAATAGCGAGAAGTTGGGTCTACTAAAAAGGAACGCTGGCAACGTACAAAAAACACAGTTACTTGTGGACAATTTGTCGCCGACGCTGTCTTAAAGTCGGAGGATCTTAATGAAAATAAATTACTACTGCTACTAATCCCTGAACCTGTCCGGAGTGTCACCTGCTGTCTGATTATCTCCCTTTTTTATTGCATTAAATGGACAGACCATGTCACGTTACACCCGGAGCTAAGTGGTTTCCCGGAGCCCATAAACGTCTTATAAGAAAAACTACTCAAAAATCATCTCTCTCTTCCTGAGCTATTCGGGAGAAAACGCTCATATATGTATATCATATACGAAAGAATAAAATTTGTGTATATTTGATAGACGTCATGGAAATAAACATAACTAAACTGCTCGTTCGAATTTAGAAGCTTACTCTCCCTTAAACAGAATCCTTTGGGACTACAATAATGTCCACGGTAGCGCGGTCTCCGTCAATGTTCCTTCGGAGTTGTCCGATTGCGCTGAACTAATTTTAAGTGATGAAATAGATGTTTTTTCTAATTGTCTCACAACTTACAGGAAAAATCTGTTGCGTATCATTTCCCAATTAAATATAAATTAATCATAAGTAATTAATCAAATGTAATCAAGTCTTAGTTATATTATTTTTATTTTTGTTGTTAATGCACTGTCGATTGTACCTATAATTGAGGTGACATCTGCCATGAACTTTTGTCAATTGTTCAATGTTTTGTATCGATGATCACTTTGTTGGTGCAACTTAATAAATAAATAAACTGCTATTTCAGCTCGAGGGAGACAAGGAGCATTGGTTTGATTGTGAATCTGATGTCATTACTCACATCAAAGTAACAATATCTCCGGACGGCGGGATCAGCAGACTACGAGCATTTGGTTACATTTCTCCATTCTAAACGTAATCAAATACAATTTATTAATGTATGATGTTTATTATTGTTGTCAAACATGCTTTTTTATTTCAGTAATAAGCTACGTGATGATATTCTGTCCAATCATTCAACTCTTGACATAATATGACATGTTATTTTCCTAGTTAGTTAGATTAGGAATTATTCTTAGGTAACTACCTAGTTCTACCGTACTAACGTATCGCCAATTTATGCTGTTAGACAAAAAGACATTAAAGCTTTTAATAAGCGCTTGACGTACCGTGCTTTTGTCTGTACTTGGAAGATGTTTTGAATTCTGCGCAAACCTGCCTATTTCTGCCGTGAAGCAGTAATGCGTTTCGGTTTGAAGGATGCGGCACCCGTTGTAACTATACTGAGACCTTAGAACTTATCTCAAGGTGTGTGGCGCATTTACGTTGTAGATGTGTATGGGTTCCAGTAACCACTTAACACCAGGTGGGCTGTGAGCGCGTCCGGCCATCGAAGCAATAAAAAAACACTTTAAAGATATCTAAATCAGAAAAATGAATTGTTATTTATTATACGGCTAATCATAGCTTTTTTGCCATCATATAATATTATATTATATTGGATGTATTTATGGCGATGTCATAATATAAGGCCATAATAAGAGCATGTGCCTATAGCGATGTTCATTGAGGCCAACGGATAGCTTGTGTCGCACCCTCGTCAACCAGAACGTTAAATTTCCACTAAATTATCCCTATTAACCTGGAATTTAAATGTTAAAGTTAGTTCCTAGAAATTGGATGCATGTGTACCATTTACAATTATTTGTTTAGAGTGTGTAAATAATTACACACTTCCTATAATAATATAGGAATTGATAAATTATGCTAAGTTTGAATGATTAACTAAAATATTTATCTGATTAAAACACACTTCATAATATTATTGTACCCTAATGGTTAGTTCGGGAGAATATTTTTTTATGATTGAAGTATTAGTGGTGTCGCTGATGACTTTCCAGTTTCACCAGGATAGGTTGGCGAGCAAAGGCTCAGCCAGGAGGAGTGGGATTTGCTAACATCTTCCCGAGCGCCTCCGAAGGAGACCTAACAACTCAAGAGCAATTGCTTCGCGAATAAATCTACTACCGGATCGGAATCGCGACCCACTGAGAAGATCCGGCGAGAAACTCAGTGGGCTGATGCATGGATTAGGTTGCACGACGAGCCCCTTGCCGATTTCGACGAGTATGGTTACCGGGGTCCCTATGCCGGCTCCTAGTGCTAGAACTGAGGGTGTCTAATACAAGGGCTATTTGATGTAATGGATCCGTAAGGACGTGTCTAGGGCGTTGACGGTGACTGGCTCCTGCGTGATCAGGATACGGGGAGTAGTCAGCAGTTACAAGGGAGAAACTCTGTTATTGGAGCTTTTATATGAAGGTAAGAAATTAGGCAATTAGAAAGTGAGTCAGCCCCAAATATTATTATCATACTCGACAATAAAGATAGACAGGATTGTTTGGAATAACTATTCTCTACCATAAGTATGTATCATTGCTCCATCTACAGAGGATTGTGACTTTTATGCTACAAAAGCTTAATATTTACTGAATAGCTCTAATCTTGATTCTCACATGGTCCCACAAGTAAGATGCCTGTATTCACATTATGCGATTTGACTATGCCGGTGCTTCAATCTCGCAGACATGTATCAAGCATCATAAGGAACCAAACTCGGAAGAACCAAACCAAACCAATAGGACCTTAGTATCAGTAACGTCATTGTCATGAACAACTTCTATAATGAAGGAATAGCCCCATGTAATTATTGTATTAGACTTTTTTCACACAAATATACTTACACGTTCATATATCGATATACAAATATGTGTATTTATGTTAATAGCCACAATCGCGGTCCGACATCTATGACGTCACTACGAACAATAATTAGTACGAATACATTCTCGCCGTAATAATACGTGGCTTAAAATGTAGTATAAACACAGTGTGTATTGCAATCGCGGCAACGATGCCAAACAGAGTACCAGGGAGTCATAAAACGGTAGAGATTTCCGTGATTTCCGCATGGAGGCTATCTTGCAGAGCTTTGATATTGGGCTAACCGGCGCTCCATTGGGCGCCGTGCCAGGCCGTGCCTGCATCGAAGGGGGCTTACTCACACCGTTATATTTGTTCATACTATTATTTTGTAAGCTTACTTTTTTTTTTATGATTGAAAGTTTACTGGTGGCCCGAAGGCCTTTCCAGTTTCACCAGGACAGGTGGGCGAGCAAAGGCTCAGCCAAGAGGGGTGGGATTTGCTAACAACTGCCCGAGCGCCTCCGAAGGAGACCTAACAACTCAAGAGCAATTTTTTCGCGAATGAATCTACTACCGGATCGGAATCGCGACCCGTTGAGAAGATCCGGCGAGAAACTCAGCGGGCTGATGCATGGGTTAGGTTGCACGTCGACCTCTTTGTCGAGTTCGACGAGTACGGTTACCGGGGTCCCTAAGCCTGCCCCTAGTATTAGAGCTGAAGGCATCTAATGCAAAGGTTATTGGATCTGATGGANCCCCGGGTCTTGAAAACACTCGCCTTGCGGCGAGGCCCCAACTTCTCGGACCTGAGCGGTTCTATTGAACACAGGTGGCAATGCGGCGCGATTACTACAGGACAAAGAAAAAGCACAACAAAACAGAAATTACAAAAAGAAACAAAACAAATAAATACTTGCAGGAAAACACTTTGTCGGCAAATGTTCCACGAACACAAAAATAATTAAAACAAAACAAATAAAAGCTTCCAGGAAACACACTTGGTCGGCAGATGTATCACGAACACAGGCCGCGCGAACAATGGCCGGGCTAACAAAAGCCGGGCGAACAAAGACCGGGCGATCGAGTGGACGATGAGCACGTCCGCACATGACGGGTGCCTCTATCGGAATGAGTAAGCTTACTCTGATGTTACGAAAATAGTTTCAACGAATTCCCCCCCATTTCACTATTGCGGTTTCTTAGTTATCGCAGGCACGCATATTCGGTGGCAGCGGCTGGGTTCTTGCTGAATTGCTGAAGTCCATGGGCGACGGTAACCACTCACCATCAGGTGGGCCGTATGCTCGTCTACGTTGCGTTGCGTCTACAAGGGCAATAAAAAAAGGCAGACGTGTTAAGTATCCTTCTTGTTCGTTGACTCTTGACAGAGCGGTCGTGAACATCATGTGGTATTGTTGACGGCAGACATAACACACCTTACGACTGCTGGTCGTATCGTAACATACCGTTATCGTTATATAGATATAAACAGTACCTAACCATTGTAATCATGTTGCAAAACCTAACCCTTGTTATCTTCAATAGGAGCATAAGCGCGCTGTACACTTAGTGGCATTTGCCTATCGGATAATCGCCACTGGATTGGACCCTGGAAATATCAGAAGCTCGACCCACGTAAAATACCCCAGGTTCTGATTTCCGAAACTTGGTTACACTACGGTCTGAAATTATCACGAAAATTTATCTTTTACTGCGTCAGTTAATGTAATTCAAACGTTTTGATGATAAAGAGACTTTCATTGAGGAATGTTAGTAAAGCTGTGAAACGATTGTATTACCTTAACTTAGTAGACAATATTTAGAATGCAATTGTCATCGGTGCTATTTATATTGTTATCGATTGCGTCATTATATTGATAGTTATTACGAATTCCAGCCCGTCCCACTAGGACACCGTCGAATCCCTAGACATCCAGACTAACCACTTTTCCACCGCGATAGACAATGCATTCCAACAAGTAAATGATTTTAATATTAAAAGAACATTAATAAACAATTGAAACAACTGGGGTTTTTTCACTGCATCAAATTATTCTCCGAGCTTATGAATCTCTTAAGAGTTAGAGACGCGGCAATCCGAGCTTACGATCATTAACTCACCGAGTCAAAGTGGATTCGGATGCGACGTCTATAGCAATCGAAAACCTACAACCAAGGAAAGCTCCCAACTCCGACCGAACCCACAATCGTGTATCAAATTTTACCCGTCCAATTGATATATATGTTCTATTTTAAGTTAACTATAACGAACTACATCTTCCCCGCGATGCGGAAAGAAGCGGAGTTTATCCGCATGTGCAAGCCTGGGAAACCCAAAAGCGAATCACGAGGCACCGATCGATAAGCCATAGTCTCTTCCTAAGTATATGCAAATTTTATGAGCATTTCCTCCGACAGTACCTCTGGGAGATCCGTTACGTAAGTATCTGAAGACAGCGTCAGAATGCTTCTGCGAGAAAGCGGCGCGGGATAAAGACCCTCTTATGGGGTCCGCCTCGAACTATATTTCCGACCCAAGCGGTGGGGCAACCAAAGCTGCCGTTACCCTAAGGCGTCCAACCGGATCCTCCCGATCCACTCCCAGTGCTTTTAGGCACTCCAAGTACCTAGTCATTGTTCTCGTCAAACTCGTCCTAGAGTTCGACGTACAATCTAGGCCATCGACACAACCCAGTAATTTTCTCGTCGGATCTTTTCAGTGGATCTTGATTCTGATCCACTGGTAGATTCGATAAAGGAAACCCCGTGAGCTTACCTTCCAAACTGTGCGTAACTGGCATGACCCCTTAAGGTACGAGCGCTTAGATAGAAAAAAAAAAAGATAACTACTCATCATCCGGTGGACCACATGATGTGATTTTATTGAAATTAGATACCAGTACGACGTTCACATCATCGGCAAAGTTTATTGAATCTTCTACGGTGACAAAATTTCGTCCAATTTGAATTTCTAATAACTACGAGACTTATATTGAGTAATCAATGATAAAATTCACAATGGATACTGATGATGAACTTCTTTGTAGCAGCCTAAATATTTTCTCTATGGCAGCTTTATACTCGTAGTTCTAGAATGATCATATTTGCATCATAATAATAGAATGAACTTTGTTTAAAGCTTTTCATTATAAGTGTAGCTTGGAAACGCGTTTTGTTCAGATATTGATTTAGATTTCACAGCAAAGT